AGGTTGTCCATTTTATTGGCATAGAGTTCCTTGTAGTAGTCTCTTAGGATGCTTTGTATTTCTGTGATGTCTTTTGTAACTTCTCCTTTTTCATTTCTAAGTTTATTGATTTGAGCCCTCTTCCTCTATTTCTTGAGGTGTCTGGCTAAAAGTTTATTAAATTTGTTTATCTTCTCAGAACACCACCTTTAAGTTTTATTGATCTTTGCTGTTGTTTTCTTTGTTTCTGTTTCATTTATTTCTGCTCTGATCTTTATGATTTCTTCTGCTAACTTTGGATTTTGTTTGTTCTTCTTTCTCTATTTCCTTTAGATGTAAGGTTAGATTATTTGACATTTTCCTTGTTTCTTGAGGTAGGCTGGTATAGCTATAAACTTCGCTCTTAGAACTGCTTTTGCTGCATCCCATAGGTTTTGGATCGTTGTATTTTCATTGTCATTTGTCTCTAGGTAGTTTTTGATTTTGTCTTTGATTTCTTCAGTGATCTCTTGGTTATTTAGTAATGTATTGTGTAGTCTCCATGTGTTTGTGTTTTTTATGTTTTTTTCCCTGTAATTGATTTCTAATCTCATAGGATTGTGGTCAGAAAAGATGCTTGATATGATTTCAGTTTTCTTAAATTTACTGAGGCTTGATTTGTGACCCAAAATGTGATCTATCCTGGAGAATGCTCCGTGCGCACTTGAGAAGAAAGTGTAATCTGTTTTTGGACGGAATGTCCTATAAATATCAGTTGTATCTGGTCTGTTGTGTCATATAAAGCTTGTGTTTCCTTTCTTATTTTCATTTTGGATGATCTGTCCATCGGTGTAAGTGAGGTGTTAAAGTCCCCCACTAATATTGTATTACTGTTGATTTCCTCTTTTAAAGCTGCTAGCAGTTGCCTTATGTATTGGAGGTGCTCCTATGTTGGGTGCATATATATTTATAATTGTTATATCTTTTTGGATTGATTCCTTGATCATTATGTAGTGTCCTTCCTTGTCTCTTGTATTGTTCTTTATTTTAAAGCCTATTTTATCTGATATGAGTATTGCTACTCCAGCTTTCTTGTGGTTTCCATTTGCATGGAATATCTTTTTCCATCCCCTCAGTTTCAGTCTGAATGTTTACCTAGGTCTGAAGTGGGTCTCTTGTAGACAGCATATATATGGGTCTTGTTTCTGTATCCATTCAGCAAGCCTGTTTCTTTCGGTTGGAGCATTTAATCCATTCACATTTAAGGTAATTATCGATATGCATGTTCCTATGACCATTTTCTTAATTGTTTTGGGTTTGTTTTTGTAGGTCCTTTTCTTCTCTTGTGTTTCATGTCTAGAGAAGTTCCTTTAGCATTTGCTGTAGAGCTGGTTTGGTGCTGCTGAATTCTCTTAGCTTTTTCTTTTCTCTAAAGGTTTTGATTTCTCCATCAAATCTGAATGAGATCCTTGCCAGGTAGAGTAATCTTGCTTGTAGGTTCTTCCCTTTTATCACTTTAACTATATCATGCCACTCCCTTCTGGCTTGTAGAGTTTCTGCTGAGAAGTCAGCTGTTTATCTCATGGGAATTCCCTTGTTTGTTATTTGTCCCTTGCTTCCTTCAATAATTTTTCTTTGTGTTTAATTTTTGCCAATTTGATTATTTATGTGTCTCGGCCTGTTTTTGCTTGGGTTTATCCTATATCGGACTCTCTGCACTTCCTGGACATGGGTGGCTATTTCCTTTCCCATGTTAGGGAAGTTTTTGACTATAATCTCTTCAGATATTTTCTTGGGTCCTTTCTCTCTCTTTTCTCCTTCTGGGACCCCTATAATGCGAATGTTGTTGCGTTTATTGTTGTCCCAGAGGTCTTTTAGCCTGTCTTCATTACTTTTCATCCTTTCTTTTTCTTCATTCTGTTGTGCAGCAGTGAATTCCACCATTCTGTCTTCCAGGTCACTTATCCATTCTTCTGCCTCAGTTATTCTGCTATTGATTCCTTCTAGTGTATTTTTCATTTCACTTATTGTGTTGTTCATCTGTGTTTGTTTGTTCTTTAATTCTTCTAGATGTTTGTTAAACATTTCTCGCATCTTCTTGATATTTGCCTCCATTGTTTTTCCGAGGTCCTGGATCATCTTCGCTGTCATTATTCTGAATTCTTTTTCTGGAAGGTTGCCTATCTTCAATTCATTTAGTTGTTTTTCTGGGCTTTTATAGTGTTCTTTCATCTGGTACATAGTCCTGTGCCTTTTCATCTTGTCTGTCTTTCTGTGAATGTGGTTTTTGTTCCATAGGTGTAAGATTGTAGTTCTTCTTGCTTCTGGTGGGTGAGGCTATCTCTGTGTGTTTCTTAAGTTTACAATATACTGTCCTATTTGGGCCTGATCTTTTTATTTTATTTTTTTATTTTTTTAACATCTTTATTGGAGTATAATTGCTTTATAATGTTGTGTTAGTTTCTGCTTTATAACAAAGTGAATCAGTTATACATATACATATGTTCCCATCTCTTCCTTCTTGCATCTCCCTCCCTCCCACCCTCCCTATCCCACCCCTTTAGGTGGTTACAAACCACCTAGCTGATCTCCCTGTGCCATGCGGCTGCTTCCCACTAGCTATCCACCCTACATTTGGTAGTGTGTATGTTTCCATGCCACTCTCTCACTTTGTCACAGCTTACCCTTCCCCCTCTCCATATCCTCAAGTCCATGCTGTCGTAGGTCTGTGTCTTTATTCCCATCCTACCCCTAGGCTCTTCATGACATTTATTTTTCCCTTAGATTCCATATATATGTGTTAGCATACGGTATTTGTTTTTCTCCTTCTGACTTATTTCACTCTGTATGACAGACTGCAGGTCCATCCACCTCACTACAAATAAGTCAATTTCGTTTCCTTTTATGGCTGAGTAATATTCCGTTGTATATATGTGCCACATCTTCTTTATCCATTCATCTGTTGATGGACACTTAGGTTGCTTCCATGTCCTGGCTATTGTAAATAGAGCTGTAATGAACATTTTGGTACATGACTCTTTTTGAATTATGGTTTTCTCAGGGTATATGCCCAGTAGTGGGATTGCTGGGTTGTATTGTAGTTCTATTTTTAGGTTTTTTTTTTTTTTTTTTGCGTTACGCGGGCCTCTCACCATTGTGGCCTCTCTTGTTGCGGAGCACAGGCTCCGGGTGCGCAGGCCCAGCGGCCGTGGCCCACGGGCCCAGCCGCTCCGCCACATGTGGGACCCTCCCATACCGGGGCACGAACCTGTGTCCCCTGCATCGGCAGGCGGACTGTCAGCCACCAGGGAAGCCCTATTTTCAGTTTTTTAAGGAACCTCCATACTGTTCTCCATAGTGACTATATCAAATTACATTGCCACCAACAGTGCAAGAGTGTTCCCTTTTCTCCACACCCTCTCCAGCATTTATTGTTTCTAGATTTTTTGATGATGGCCATTCTGACCAGTGTGAGATGATATCTCATTGTAGTTTTGATTTGCATTTCTCTAATGATTAATGATGTTGAGCATCCTTTCATGTGTTTGTTGGCAATCTGTATATCTTCTTTGGAGAAATGTCTATTTAGGTCTTCTGCCCATTTTTGGATTGGGTTGTTCATTTTTTTGTTATTGAGCTGCATGAGCTGCTTGTAAATTTTGGAGATTAATCCTTTGTCAGTTGCTTCATTTGCAAATATTTTCTCCCATTCTGAGAGTTGTCTTTTGGTCTTGTTTATGGTTTCCTTTGCTGTGTGAAAGCTTTGAAGTTTCATTAGGTCCCATTTGTTTATTTTTGCTTTTATTTCCATTTCTCTAGGAGGTGGGTCAAAAAGGATCTTGCTGTGATTTATGTCATAGAGTGTTCTGCCTATGTTTTCCTCTAAGCGTCTGATAGTGTCTGGCCTTACATTTAGGTCTTTAATCCATTTTGAGTTTATTTTTGTGTATGGTGTTAGGGAGTGTTCTAATTTCATACTTTTACATGTACCTGTCCATTTCTCCCAGCACCAGTTATTGAAGAGGCTGTCTTTTCTCCATTGTATAATCTTGCCTCCTTTATCAAAGATAAGGTGACCATATGTGCGTGGGTTTATCCCTGTGCTTTCTATCCTGTTCCATTGATCTATATTTCTGTTTTTGTTGGGCCTGATCTTAACTTCATTTATGTTAGCTTTCGTTTTCATTTCATTTCATTTTGGAGGACTATTTTTATGTTTATGACCCTCATTCATCATTAGATAATAAATGTATACATTCTTTATAAACTTTTTTTTTCTTTTTAATGTTTATGGTTTTTTTTTGTCTCTTTTTCGTTTATTGCCTGAAGGAGTTACTAGTCCAAGTTAAAAGCAGACCCCAAATGGTTACATTATACAAGCTGTGAGGTTTTTAAACTTGTGACAGGGGACAGAAGGAAAATTCTACTCATTGCAAGGAAATCCTCTCTTAAGCTTCAGTGAGCCAGAAGCACTTAAAACCCATGAACCTTGAGCTGATCGTTCTTACCCAGTCTAGTCTCTACGAGGAACTGGCATATATTTTTGATGTTCTTGTCCTGATCACCCTGTAGCTGAATTACTTCTCCATATTCTGAATGCTCAATTACAGTACCATTGCAAACAAATTTCTTCTTAAATGCCTTCGCTAGTTTCTTTTTATTGTAATCATCAGTGATCCCTTGGACAGTAGTAAGGGTCTTCCTGCCGTTTTCCTGTTGAATTCTTATATGGATATAATCCTCAGTGCCAGCAGGAAGCAGATCATCACCCTTGCATCAGCAAAGGGGTAGATAGTGTGGAGCTTCTGGATAGTGGACATACGATGCAATCCCTTTTCCTCGGTGGAAACGGCCTGTGGAAGGCGGCGGCTGGAGAAGGCGGGTTGTGGGGACAGAGTGTTGGGAAGCGAGGGGGCTCAAGGGGGAGGCTGCTGAGTCCTTGGTGGCGGCTCAGTGACTGGGCTATAGAGTATTTTTAAATCGTCTAAATAATACAGTATTAAGGATATTCTTAAAATTAAACTTGCTTATTTGTTTTTTAGGATAACTTTCCATTTGATCCTCCATTTGTTCGAGTGGTGTTACCTGTTCTCTCAGGAGGGTAAGTTTAAGTGATTGTTTTCTTTGATAGTCTACATCAGAATCATTTGGAGGGGTAGTTAAATGCTAGGATGCCTAGAGTGCTGGGCTTTACCTCAAGGTTTCTGATTCAGTAGGACTGGGGTAGGGCCTAAGAATTTGCATGTGTTAGATGGTCTCAGGTGAAGCTGATGTTCTAGGCTGGGAACCATAATTTGAGAATCATTGGCATAAACCATTATGTTTACAGGTAGAGTTTTTAATGACCTCTATTTGTATATACTTCACCTTAAAAAATCGCAAGTTTTTCAAATGTAAGATGTGATTGAGGGTTTAGAGAAAGTTAGGATTAGAGTGATTCCCACATGCCTATGATCCTAGGAATAATCACAGGATATCTCATGGGCCTATGGAGCTGGTCATTGATCTTCTAAAGGTAGTTGTCTCAGTTTGGTAGGATCAAATGGTAATTGTCATCCATTTTTTAATTGAAGCTTATATTGCCTCTTGGTGATTAGAAGTCATATGAAGGATGGGGAAAAGATCAGAATTTGTACCTAGGTTAGTTGTGAAATGTTCTGTAGATCCTCAAAGTAAGAGCAGTTAAACTAATTTGAGAATTCTGATATGCTCAGCTAATCAATTCCACTTTGTGAGACATATTATGGTGATTAAAACCTAAAAATATCCAGTCCTCTGATCATCTCTATGGTTGATATAGTAATAGTTTCATTTAGATTAAAGCAATCTGGGTGGCTATAAATGATTGAGGAAAATATTTGGAAACTTTTTGTAAATTCAGGATAAATATATAAAAATATTTTTATCAGCTCATTTTGAAATCTCATGTAAACTTGACATAGATTTTTCACATTCTGTTGTGAAAAATCCCAAGAATTTTAAGAATTTATGATCTTAGTAGTTTACCACCTTGTTGTAGAGAAAACACATGAAATTATGAATAATGCCATTTTCAGTTTAAAAATCTGTTATATATTGAACAGTTTCTCTTTGATTCCTTTTACCAAATGGGGTTATTTTCCCATTATTCAAGTGAATAACTGGAATAATAAGCTGGTGACTTATCCAGATAAATCTTCTAACTTCTAATAAAGTATTTTTCCATTATACGAAAAGCCAGCAATGTAAAAGATTAAAAGTATTGAGTACTCAACTGATTGTCAAATGTTAAATATGGACTTAAGTTCTCTGAGGTTGAAGGAGAAGGAGATTGCTTCTGGCGATAGTGATCTGGGAAGACTTGGACAAGTAGGTGGGATCTCAGCTAGGCCATGAAGTATTGGGTGGGGTTTGGTCAACTGACGGAGGTTGAAGGAAAATTGTCTATGTAGGCGAAAAGTAAACACAGTCACTCATTTGGGAAAGAGCATGATGTATTCAGAGTGTACCAGATCAGTTTGAGCTATAACACAAGAGGGGTAGAATTCATATAGAAGAATTATAAGAAATTGTGTTGACAATATCTTATAATTATATAGGAGCATGGATTGGTGAGCAAACTATTTCCCATGGATATTGAATTTATCTTTCTGTAACTGGTTCAGGAACAGGGACATAACAGTAAAGAGAATGTTTTAGAAAGATAAATATGGTGACAGTAGAAGAGACTACAGGACACACTTATATTCACAAAACCTGGAAGAATGCAAGCCTTGTTAACTAGAGCTGAGGTCACTGTCTTAGGATGAAGTGATGAGAACCTAAATCGGTACAGTAGTAATGGGAATGGAAAGATGAATGAAAGGTGAGTGCTGATTTGAGGCAGAATCTAAGTGATTTTGAGGCAAAATCAAAAAAACAATCTACTATTAAGTAAAGAGGAAGAATTACTGGCTGACACGGGAAGAACTAAAGAAGAACTAAAAAGTGTGAAGCCTGATAGAACAGAGCTTGCAATCTTAGAATAAGGCTAAAGCTTGAACACTGTGACTCTGGATAGATTATTAAGGAATTTTTGTTCCAGATATTTTATATCCCACATCTCCTAGCTACTCCCTTATTTGTTTCTTGTCACAGTCAAAAAAATTTTTTAAACATAACAGCTTTATTTTGATACAATTCACATATGATAAAACTTACCTTTTAAAGTGTATAATTCAGTGGTTTAGTATACTGAGAGTTGTGCAACCTTTACCACTAATTTCCATCACCTTCCAAAAGAAACTCTGTACCCATTAGCAATCACTTCTCATTCCTCCCTCCTACACCCCACCCACTAGCAGCCACTAATCTCCTTTCTGTCTCTCTGGATTTGCCTGTTCTGGACATTTCATTTAAATGGAACCAAACAAATTACAGCCTTTCGTGACTGGCTTCTTTCAGTTAACAAAATTGTGGGCTTCCTTGGTGGCGCAGTGGTTGAGAGTCTGCCTGCCAATGCAGGGGACATGAGTTCAAGCCCTGGTCCAGGAAGATCCCACATGCTGTGGAGCAACTAAGCCCGTGTGCCGTAACTACTGAGCCTGCGTGCCACAACTACTGAAGCCCGTGTGCCTAGAGCCCATGCTCCGCAACAAGAGCAGCCACCGCAGTGAGAAGCCCTGCGCACCGCATGAAGCGTAGCCCCTGCTCGCTGCAACTAGAGAAAGCCTGTGTGCAGCAACAAAGGCCCAACGCAGCCAAAAATAAATAAATAAAATAAATTTATATTAAAAAAAATTTGTCAAGGTCCATCCACGTTGCAGCATGTATCAATACTTCATTCCATTTTATTTATGCATGGACATTTGCTTTTTCCACCCTTGGGCTATCATGAATAATGCTGTGAATATTCATGTACACGCTTCTGTGTGCACATGTTCATTTGTCTTTCGCATATACCTATGTGAGGAGGCACTAGGTCCTTTGGTAACTAACTTTTTGATGAAGTACCAGACTGCAAAGTGGCTGCACCATTTACATTCCCACAAGCAATGTGTATATAACCACACTCTTCACTTCCTGTTCACTTTTCAGCCCCATGTAGTCTGGCATTGGCTGTTAGTGTTCCTAACAAACTGGTATAGCTGATAGGGACTTTGGTATTGGACAGAAGTCCCTTTTCAGGCTCTGTCATATCTGATTATCAGATTTCTCAGCAACACTGAAACATTTTTCCCTTGGCTTCTGACTGCCTCTTCTCAGTCTCTTTTGCTGCAAACTCCTTGTTCACTTAACTTCTACCTGTTGGAGTTCTTCAGAATTTAGTACTGGGTCCTTTTTTCTTTTCCCTTCATTCCTTTGCCTTTTTTTTTTTTTTTTTTGCGCTACACGGGCCTCTCACTGTTGTGGCCTCTCCCGTTGTGGAGCACAGGCACTGGATGCGCAGGCTCAGCGGCCATGGCTCACGGGCCCAGCCGCTCCACAGCATGTGGGATCTTCCCGGACCAGGGCATAAACCCGTGTCGCCTGCATCGGCAGGCGGACTCTCAACCACTGCGCCACCAGGGAAGCCCTCCTTTGCCTTTTTTTAAAAATTAAAATTTTAATTGAGTTAATTGTGTATTTGCACACAGTTGTAAGAAATAATAGAAATACCTTGTACCCTTTGCCTATTTTCCCCAGTGGTACCATTTCTGCAAAGCTGTAGTATAATATTACGAGGAGGCAGTGATACAGTATGAGACAGTGATACAGAGATAGTGATACGATAAGTAGAGATTATTCAGATTTTCCTAGTTTTACTTATAACTCGTGTGTGTATGTGTGTATTAAGTTCTATATTGAGTAGGTTTGTGTATCCACCACCACAGTCAAGGTACTGAACAGTTCCAACACCATGAGGATCCTTCTTGAGGCCCCTTTAAACCATACCCATTTTACTGTAATGCCCCCTCTTCCCTTAATTCCTGGCAACCACTAATCTGTCCTGCATTCTTAGTATTTTGTCATTTCAAAAACAATTTACATAAATGGAATCATACATTTTTGGATTGCAAACTTTAGGGATTAGCTTTTTTTTTTAACTCATAATTAGAGAGTCATCTAAGCATCTGACTACTTTGTTCCTTTTTATTGCTGAGTAGTATTCCACGGTGCACCATGTACTACAGTCTGGTTAACCAGTAATCTGCTTTAGGACTTCTAGACTGATCTCAGTGTTTGGGTATTACAAGTAAAGCTGCTATGAATACTTGTGTACAGGTGTTTTTTGTGAATGTATTGTCCTTTTTCTGGGATACAAGTCCAGGAATGCAATTGCTGGGTCATATGGTCATTGCATATAGAGTTTTTAAAGAAACTACCAAACTGTTTTCCAGAGTGGCTTTACCATTTTACATTCTTACCAAGAATGTGTGAGTGACACACTTTCTCCACATCCTTGCCAGCATTTGGTGATGTCACTTGTTTTTATTATAGGCATTCTGTTAGGTGTGTAGTGATGTCTCATTGTGGTTTTAAGTTGCTTTCCCTAATATTCCCCAGTGTTGAATATCTTTCATGTACTTATTTGACAGCTTTATATACTCTTCCAAGAGATATCTGTTCATGTCTTTTGCCAGTTTTCTAATTGGATTGTATTTCGTTGAATTTTGAAAGTTTTAAAAATATATTCTACATAATAGTCCTTTGCTGGATATGTGTGTTTTTTTTTTTTTTTTTGCGGTACATGGGCCTCTCACTGTTGTGGTCTCTCCCGTTGCGGAGCACAGGCTCCGGATGTGCGGGCTCAGCGGCCATGGCTCACGGGCCTAGCTGCTCCACGGCATGTGGGATCTTCCTGGACCGGGGCACAACCCGTGTCCCTTGCATTGGCAGGCGGACTCTCAACCACTGCGCCACCCGGGAAACCCTGGATATGTGGTTTTTTAATTTCTTCTAGTATGTAGCTTCATTTCATCTTCTTAACAGAATCTTTTGTAGAACAAAATATTTTAGTTTTGATGAAGTCAAATTTATAGATGTTTCTCCTTATATAGATATGCTTTTGGTGTCAAATCTAAAAACTCTTTGCCTAGTCCTAGATCCCAAAGATTTTCTCCTACCTTTTTTTCCTCAAGGTTTTACAGTTTACTTACAGATAAGTCTGTGAATCATCTGAATTAAATTTTGCATAAGGTATGAGGTGTAGGTCATAGATTTTTGCCTAATGTCCAGTTGCTCTAGCATGATTCGTTGAAAAAGCTCCCATGGCTTTTGAAATATTTCTATGTGCCAGTGACTCCCAGGTTCGTATCTCACATCCCTATGTCTTTTCTGCTTCCAATATCCTTCTGCCTTCTTGACACCTCAACTTGAATGTCTCTTATACAGGCATCTCAAACTCTTCAGGACAAAAACTTGAACCCATCTTCTTTTCAGTTTCCCTTCCCCAGTCTTGCTTATCTTAATTAATGAACCTAGGAGTCATTCTTTACATCACCTTTTCCTCATTTTCCTTTGATTCTCCCTTTTAAAGAGTTCTCAGATCCAATTACTTGTCTCCATTTTTGTTGCTACCACCATCAGTTCCCAATTGGATCACTTCAGAGGATTCCTGATCAGACTCCTGCTTCTATTCCCTCATTCATAAAGCTTCTCTAGAGTGAGCTTTTACAAATTTGTTCTGATTATGTTGCTCCCCTGCTTAAGCTCTTTGCATGTCTTCCCACTGCTCCTACAGGTTGATGTCCTTACCATATTCTGCACGCCCTCTGTGATCTTGCCCTTGCTTTCCTCTTCAGTCATCTTGTTACTACACTTTTCCTCTCTGAGCTAATGCCCCACTAGTTGTCTTTCAGCCCCTAGTGCCGAGCAGACTCTTTCCTCATGACTTCCATATACATTTCCTCTGCCTGGAATGTTATTCCCACCCACACTTCAATTCCTGCAGGTCTCAGCCTGTGTGTCACTTTTAGATATGCTGTTCCTGACCAGCAAATTTAAAATAAGCCTCCTGGTTTTTCCTGCTCACAGAACTCTGGGTCTCCATCCCCCACTTTATTTGTTTAACATCTGTTATCTTTACTGGATTGTAAACATCATGAAGGCAGGGTCATGTCAGTTTTCTTCATTGTACGCTCTGTGTCTGGTTCAGTGCTTTAGCATCCATACTATATATGCAGTAGATATTTTTGAATGAATGAATGAGATAGGAAAATACAGTAAGTTAGCAAGATGTAGGCAATTTAGGGTAATATACAATTCCCAGTCCACTGGTATTTTTATGAGCTATATTATTGAGCCATCGAAACTTGACCATCTTTCTTGCTTAGTCCAGGGTGTAGTGTAGTGAGAATGAGAAAGATTATTTGATGATAATACAATATATTGTGAGAGAGCTGTTTGTAGGCAACTGAAGATGCTTTATTGGTTGATATAGTAAGAAGTATTCTTTGTGCCCCAGTCATCCACAAAGAAAATACTTCTACTTCTAGATGACCATGGGTTGTTTCTGTCTGTATTGAGAGAACATTATCTTAAGAAACTGGTTTTAAATGTCAGCATTTTCTTTATCCCTCTCTTAGGGCTCTGTTCTTAGAATCCATTGCCCCTTTCCTTACCTCGAAAGGGGAGGATTATGATTGTTCTGTGTGGGCTGATAAGCCTGTCTTTTTTTTTAATGTCATTATCAAGAATTTGACTATAATATAAAAATTTTATTTCTCATCTCTGTTTTTTGGATCATGTCATATGATTTAAGAATCATGTTGTGTGATTAATGTTACTTGTTGTCCCCTTAAGTACTGATTAATGGTATCTGTTGTCCCCTCAAAGCAATTAAGTGATCATCATAGACTGTGGGTGGGGAGGTTAGCTGGCAAACATTCTTGCAGGAACCTTCTAGTAAAACAAAAATTCTATAAATTGAATGCCTGAAGAGGCTGAGCTTAGGATACTGTTTGCTATACAACTTTGGCAATTGAAAATTTTTTTAAGTTGAAAATATTACTATGCCCATGTATATGGCATTTTATCTTTAGATGACTCTTAGATTATTATTATTTTTTTAGTGTTCTTGGATTGTCTCAATATTCAGCAGCAACTCTTTGGAGGCAAATAGCAATAAGCGCTTGGAATACATATTGATAAAATGATACGGTACAGAAGTAGAGTTGATAAAAGGATACAGTACAAAAGTAGAATTGGCTACTTTTTTTAGGTGTAAATGCTGCTGACAGTATATATTAAGGAAAAGCTTAGTAAGTGTATATTAAGGAAAAGTTTAATATGCATTAATATATACTTAGCTCACTTTTTGCATAGGTACTAGAACTACTTCTGTCTTGTGTTAGACATCCAACAAACATTTTTATAGCTATTATGTGCTTGTAGAAAATGTACTTTCTTTTGATCTACAAGTATGAAAACTTCCCTTCTTCCCTCCTGACAAGACTCTCCACCCCAAAATGAAGAGTGGGGTGCTAAAAGGGAAGGTGGTGGTTAGATAATTCGTGACTCAGTGTCATCTACAAATCTCCTCTTGCTAAAATGTTTCTCTTTAGCATTTCTGAAGTGTAAGGACCAATGAGTGTAACGAGTGTTAACTCATTAACAGATTACTAGACTTTGAGCAGTTCTGGAGGAGCCAAAATCCAAATGAGAACTTGGATCTTGTAATTCTGTTAAATCAGCAAGTGCTTATTTAAAGCTGACTATATACAAGATGCACTTTGAGCCCAGTGGGAGATTCAAAGAATTGGAGACAGATTTCTGAGTTTCAGGAACATAAGAGAATATACAAAGTTTAAAATCCCATGATTCTCCTCCCTAATTTAATTTTTTGGAGTGTTTTTCTTTCCTTCGTATTAAACTTTTACTTTGAAAGTTCCCAGAAGTTGGGACAAGCAAGTAAGAATGACAGTTGCCTAAATTCTTCAGGATGGGGGTAGTTACTACTTTATGATAGTGAATAATTTCACTGTAACTGTTTTTACTAATGGTCTACAGTAGAAGTTTTTAGATTGCTTACTTATGTGTAATTTGGTTTAGTCAACACAAGGATGCATTTGGTTAGCCAGAATGCAAAATTTGCTGGCTAGAATGGTCTTGGAAAGTTTTATGGGGCAGGGGGGAATATGGCATTTGGAAGAGTAGGCAGCAGTGGGAATCTCAGGCAAGGAAGGGAAAGGCATGGGCAAAGTCCCAGAGGACAAAAAAAATTTGTGGTAGACTCACTTTTCACCTAGACCTGATCAGTGGTCTTACCTTATGTATTTTCAAGATTACCACAGTTTTTCTTCTGTAATTACCATTCCTTTGATTTTATTTTTAAGCATGATATTTAATGATTTTTTTTAAAGATTCGAGCTCTTTTTTTAAAAAATAAATTTAGTTATTTATTTTTATTTATTTATTTTTGGCTGCATCGGGTCTTCGTTGCTGTGTGCGGGCTTTCTCTAGTTGTGGTGAGCCGGGGCTACTCTTTGTTGCGGTGCACAGGCTTCTCATTGCAGTAGCTTCTCTTGTTGCGGAGCATGGGCTTCAGTAGTTGTGGCACATGGGCTCAGTAGTTGTGGCTCGCAGGCTCCAGAGCACAGACTCAATAGTTGTGGCACACGGGCTTAGTTGCTCCGCGGCATGTGGGATCTTCCCAGACCTAGGGCTCGAACCCATGTCCCCTGCATTAGCAGGCGGATTCTTAACCACTGCACCACCAGGGAAGTCCTAATGTGTTTTAAAGTTTAACATTAAAGGAGGAATTACTTTGTTTGAGAAAGTGTTAAAAGGCTGAAGAATCTTGATCTAAATAATGATTTCCTAACAGAGATCTGGGAAATCCCCAGTAACTGTCGTTGGTTCAGAGAACAGTCCTCAGGACTGGGAAGAGAAATAGGGGAGTCCCAGAGAGGGGCTCCATGGTCAGAACCATTTGATCCTCAAAACAGAATGAAAAAAAATTTTAAGTATAAATATAAATGCAGATGTTCATTATTATAGATAGAGTAAAGTCACTCCTGTCAGAGGAAAAACTTTTGGCTGTGTAACATGGTGATGGAGAAATCTTTGGTTGAGTAGAACAGTTGAAGGCCATATAAGGAAATTTTTCTCCCCCATTTTCTCCCCCATTCTCTGGAATATTTAGGGCTAAGTTCTTAGTTTCTGATACCTTAAAAGTCTTCTGTTATTAAGAACTATTATTTAAAAAAAAAAAAGACATTTAGATGATGACATCAGAATTTTAGAATTACCCATAGTCCTGTAACTCTTAACAACTATTTTCATTTTTGCATGTTATCTTCTAATCTTTACTTGTATGCATACTTTCTTAGTAATGGTACTTTAAAAATTGATGAAGAAGGAATACCAAGATCTAGAGAATTTTGTATGATTCCGTTTTCTTTTTAAGGTATGTGTTGGGTGGTGGAGCATTATGCATGGAACTACTCACAAAACAGGTGACTATTTTCTTATGGTATTCGTGTTTTTCAAACATAGAGTGTTTTAACTATGTAAATTAGATTCTAAGTGGACAAAGCTCTTTGTAATAGTACCTACTTTAACATAATTTTTGTTTTTTGCTAAAAGCACCTACTTTTAATAATGAAAGCTTTTTAAACCAGTAAAATGACATTGTACTTGCTGCTTAATCTATGCTAGGATGGGCAATAAGAGTGATGTATATTTAAAGTTGTAATTTGCTCATTTTTAGCACTTCGAATGTTGGTTTGCTTTGCTTCGTTTTTTGTGAGATTTTGGAAATTGTTCAACTTTACTTTTACTCTTTGACCACAAACTTCTTAACATTAATTTGCTGTTATTGAGTCATTATATGCCATTTTCTTAAGCTTTCCTAACTGGGAATCAAGAATACCACTGTGTTTTAAAAAAGTGTTTTCTTCTTTCTGTAGGGCTGGAGCAGTGCCTATTCAATAGAATCGGTCATCATGCAAATCAATGCCACCTTAGTCAAAGGCAAAGCCAGAGTGCAGTTTGGCGCAAATAAGGTACTTTTATTAAGAATGTCACATAAACTATAAGATATATTTCCTGTTATCTTATGAGGAGGCTTCTTTCTATTCTCTTAGTCTTTGTTATTTCTACTATAGTTAAATATGTCTATAATTTGAAATTTATTCTTGGTTTATATATACTAATAAGTAAAAAAATTATATGTAGTTGTAAGTTTCCAAAAATTGAGATCATGTTGTAATAGTTAATTCCCAGTGAGCATATACGTGCTAGGCTGTAATCTAAACTTTTTATTTGTATTAACTTTCAGTCCTCTTAATAACCTAAAAGTAGGTACTGTTATTGTCCTCATTTTGTAGATGAGGAAACTGAAGCACACAGAAGTTAGTAACTCGTCTAAGGTCACAGGTGGCAGAGTGAGGATTGGAACCAGACTTTCTGGCCGTTAGTCTCTGCTCTTAACCACTGAGTTCTTTTCTTTATTCACTTACTATATCAGAAATATCTTTTCATGTCTAATTGTAGTTATCTATAAACACTTAAGTGGACACTTAAGGATGTACTCTGAAGTTAGTATGTTTTGGAAAAATATGTGATGGAAATCATCCTGACCTGACATTTAAAAAAATCTGGATGTTCCTAAAGTTTCGTGTGAATTTTGTATTAAATGCCTATCCAAATAGTACTAAATCTAAATAGGTATTTATAACTGTATTGCACATCAAATCGTGAGCCCACTAGAATCTTAACTCACAGGGGAAGCAAAAAATTGAAAAGGCTGTTTTACAGAATTATATACTTGGGATAATATTATAAAATAACTTACTTTTAGCTTTTTAAACAGCTATTTCTTTGCATTAGAACAAAGTACCATTTTGTATAAAATCTAGAAGTTAATTGAAAAGTAGTGAATTGCTTATAACTACATTTAACTAGTGTTTCTTAACAGTGTATGTATTTTAGGTATTTTAAATGTGGCAATAGAATGATGTATTAGAACATCAAAACTTTGTTTTTCTAAATGACAATTTATGCTCACTATACAATACAAATAGAAATAAATACAAACTAAAAAAGTCATCTGTAATTTGAGTGTCTAGAAATACTATTAGCATTTTGGTGTACTTCCAGTCTTTTAAATTTTCTTCCTGGCATTTATTTATATGTAGAACTTGATGTTAAATTTCATCATTTTTTTTTTTAATTAGCGTGTTTTTCCCATTAAGAGAAAATACAAAAAGCTTAGAACAGTGATTTTTTTTGAGTAATTGAAAGACCATTTTTACCAATAACTCACACTGTAAACTTACCTCTCTGGGCATCTGTATCTTTACCTGAAATACAATTGATCTGGATATTTTAAGTTTCTTCCAGTTTTAACATTCTGTAATAACAATACGCTATCTTTGTTCAGTGCTGTAATTCCCTTGGAATCAATCAATTTCAATATAATTGCCTTAAACCTTTACATTTTCATAATTGTAGTTTTGTTAGCAAGTAAATATAACCATTTTATATAGAGTGCCAAGTTAGGCAGCTAAATATGTTTGCATATTAGAGTATGTCTTAGAAGGTGAATTTTTTTAATTGTCAAGGTGAAACCTTACCCTTCTATTTTTTTTTCTTATTAAGAAATATTTGTCAGTTAAGAATGTAGAAACTTTGCATGATGTAATATGAGTGTTACCTTCCCTTCTACTCAGCAGGGAATAGTCTGAATGTTAACTTTAAAAATACTACTATCAAAAAAGTAAGGTGCTAAATGGTGTTAAAAATACGCTACCATTTGTGTAAGAGGGATAGACAAGGACGTATTATAGATGTGCTTTTATAAGCAGAGAATATCTCTGGAAGGATATTCAAGAAAATGCTAATAACGATTATTTCTGACAAGGGAGTGTTGAAATATTGAGGGGGCAGGTTAGAATTGGGAGGGAGACTTTACTGTAAATCATTTGTGCTATTTGAATTTCTTTTTGCCATACAACTATTCAGAAATATTTAAAATATAAAAAAATACTGTCAGCTATTGGTTCAAAATAAATGAGTTTGTACCCTAAAAAAACTTATTAAAATGAGATAAATATACGTAAGTACTGAAAAACAGAAAAAGTTGCCCATCCACACACATGAAATTTGGAGATAGGGTCAGATTGATAGAGCTGAGGCTCTGCAGCTATGCCTGGGACAGAAGGATCTTGGCAAAGCTGGTTTTCTTATTCAGTTAACATGGAATAGAATATAGACTGTAACATTAACTCTAGGCTATAGTAGTGAGAAAGCCTTCTAAAGTAGAGGTCTGATCATATGACTTTTAGCAGGAATTGGGGGTTTAGATAGGCAAGACAGTGCCTTCTAAGAAGCTTCTGTTCACTGTTTGGAGGGTAATGGTAGTTGAGCTAAATAGTGAAGTCCTAGAGCACACAGCCCTAACTAGCTATTTCTATCATCAGGAAAGGCATCTGTCTTCTCTACAGCCCATAGACCTCCAGTTATTTACCTATAGGATCCCCTAGTCAGTGATCACATTCAGATGAGAGAACTGATTTTTTTTTTTTTTCCCTGGGGGAAGTTGTTACCTATACTAAGCACTCCAGTCTTCTATTATAAATGAGCGAGACTGGTCAGCTGAATCTGGGAACCTTGAATAATCCCGAGATTCTCCAAGGGGACTAAAGTGGTTTCATGTTAGTTGTATCCACAGTTCTCATCAGCAGCAGATACAGTCTTCAGAGGAAAGCATTTCTAATTTAAGCCTGTAAGATTCTCAAAGATTAAGATCAAGCAAATACGAATTCAGTGAAAGATGACAAGCACATAAGTAGACAACCTAACATACATGAGAACTGGCAGAAACAATGAATAAGAGATACATATTCCCAAAGACTTGAGGTTTTGGAATTAGCAGATACTAGAATTTTGAGAAAATGAATAATTATATGTAAAATCTAGTGTAAAGAAAAAAGAATCATAAAATTGAGCAAATGATAAGACCAGGAATGATGAGACAGATCTGAAAAAGAATGAAATAGAATTTATAGAAATGAAAAATGTTGAAATGAGAAACAATAGATTAGACATCAGAAGAGGGAATTAATTGATTAGAAGAAATAACTCAATGTTGCACAGAGAGACCTGGGGATAGACAGTACAGCAGAAGTTAAGAGGTAGAGATCAGAATGAGGTCTAAAACATGTCTTATTCGAATCCCAGGAGGAGATAATAAAATTATATTAAAGAGAGAAATAGAAACCAGAAAGTGAAGTTGTAGAAGCAGGCCCAAATAAATAAGTCATAACAAATAAAAATGGACTAAAGTTACCAGTTAGTTCAAATTAAAAAGTGGTCTTGGGCTTCCCTGGTGGCGCAGTGGTTGAGAGTCCGCCTGCCGATGCAGGGGACACGGGTTCGTGCCCCGGTCTGGGAAGATCCCACATGCTGCGGAGCGACTAGGCCTGTGAGTCATGGCCGCTGAGCCTGCGTGTCCGGAGCCTGTGCTCCGTAGCGGGAGAGGCCACAACAGTGAGAGGCCCGCGTACCGCAAAAAAAAAAAAAAAAAAGAAAAGAAGGAAAAAAAAAGTGGTCTCTAAGAAGTGTATTTGTTTATTTTTATTAAAAAAATTTTTTGAAGTATAGGTGATTTACAATGTTGTGTTAATTTCTTTTGTGTTAATTTTTTCCTGTACAGCAAAGTGACTCATTTATACATATGTAAATATATTATTTTTTATATTCTTCTACATTATGGTTTGTCACAAGAAGTATATTTAAAATGTAAGGATACAAAGAGATTGAAAAAAAAATTTTTTTTAAAGAAGAACGATAAAGATAGGCCAGAATAGGCATACCTTGGAGCTATCATGGGTTCAGTGCCAGACTACTACTTCGATAAAGCCAGTATCACAATAAAGTAAGTCACATGAACTTTTTGGTTTCCAAGTGCATACAAAATTTACACTGTACTGCAGTCTATTAAGTGTGCAATAGCCTTATGTCTAAAAAACAATGTACATGCCATAATTAAAAAAAACTTTACTGCTAAAAAATGCTAACATTTACAACATCATCTGAGTATTCAGTGAGTTGTAGTAGTAACACCAGAGATCACTGATCCCAGATCACTGTAACAGATATAGCAATGAAAAAGTTTGTGTCACATTTTGGTAATTCAAAATATTTCAGACACACAAAATGAGCCGGTGCTGCTGGGAAAAATGGAGCCTATAGACCTGCTCGACGCAGGGTTGCCAGAAACTTCAAATTGTAAAAAAGGCAATATCTGCTAGGTGCAGTAAAGTGAAGTGCAATAAAATGAGGTTTGCCTGTATACACTAACAAAAAGATGATGTAGCTGCACTATCAAACAATTTGATTTTGGAACAGAAAGCATTAGCAACTACTTAATGATGAAAGTCTCATTTAACTAGGAGGATATAATTTTTTACTTTGTCATGCTACCTATCATTTGTTGAGAGGAAAAAGCAGGGGACAGTGACTGACAACAATAGGCTGTACATTAATTTTCTTGTATAACCTTAAGGATATACAAGGAAACTAATAACAGTATTTAATTTGGATAGAAGAAGGAAGGTGGATAGGGGAGGAACTGGGTGGTTTCAGGACAGGTAGGAAGGAGAGTTGTTACTTAGAATATGTTTATACATTTATTCTTATGCTGTGTGAATTTATTTAAAAATTCTGTGACATAATATAATAGGTGTGTACCACTATGGAGAATGCTTATGATGTATTAACTGGAAGTTAAGATGTAGGCCAGTTGTACTCATGGGGATAAAATTAATGCTAAACTTGGCCCCTTAAAAGAGGTTCTGATCTAGAGGTTAACAAAAGAAGACTCCTTTAGTAATGGCTTGATGCCACTTGGACATTCTTTAGATTTTTAACTCAAAATGTCATTCATATGTGTAGTCCTTAAAACCTAATGTTTCCTTACCTGAAGGTAATATTTTGTAGTTCTTTTTTTTTTTTTTTTTGATGGAAGTTATGAGGAAGAGTTTTTCTACCTGCATCCAAATAGCATCCTTTAACTTTATTCATAAAGCCTTGTACTTGTGCAGTGGTAGGAGGACTTATAAAAATGAACTGTGAATTTTGTAGATCTTTCCTAGAGAACAGTTATGGTTTTGTTGTCCCTCTAAAATGGTAGAGAATAATGAAATTGAGAAATTTATTTTGGAAATGGAAATATAACTTAGTTTCCTGTGTTCTTTTAAGTACAGCAGTGATGCATCCATAAATTATTTGTAATGATTTTCATCTACTTATAGTTTTGATATAAAATGTATAATTCTCTTTCAGAATCAATATAATCTAGCAAGAGCCCAACAATCCTATAATTCCATTGTACAGATACATGAGAAAAATGGTATGTTTAGTTAAATAAGTATTTATTGCCATTTATGAAATTTTACATAATGTACTGTTGATATTTATCATGTTTTATTCTTCTGTTTTTGCTTTAATTTTTTACAAAGTACAGCCACTACAGTGAAAAACTTTAACCTGAGGATACACAGTGTTTCATTCAAAATCTTTGTATCCTAAATACTTGGCCTGCGAACCTCTGAGTCAGAGTCAAGATTTTTGAGTAGATTGAGGAATGGATCACTTTACTCACTTGAAATGTATGGTATTAGGATAGGAATTGAGTTAAAGGCAACTCTAAAGGTGGAGTTCTTGCTGTTAATACTGAGTAAATGCAATCAGGATCATGAACCAGTTTCTGAAACATCTTCAGACTACTTAATGCTTTTTGACAATTGTACACATTTATTTATTCAAGTAAAAAAGTACTGATTTCAGTTTATACTTAAGAATATTTGAGTTGTATATTTTAAAAAAATATTAAAATATCTTTCAAAACTTTATTGGCCTTTTAAAATTTTGCTTATTTTCACAATGCATGTTTGGAGCTTTTGTCTCTAATAGTGAGGCAATAAACAAGTAGACCTGGAATCAGAAGACCTATTATCAAGTGGCATTTGTGTCACCCATTAGCTAATGGGTAATTAGTCCCATTACCGCTCAGCCTCAGTTTCCTCATCTCTAAAATTGGCATGATGTCTGTCTTGCCGAACATGAGGAAAAAGCGAGTAGTGTGTACGCACAGCATTTTATAACCAAGTGCTGATATTCGTGGTAGCTGGGGTAGTGAAACTGATGCTTTTTTGTGCAGAGTAAGTAAATTGATAGGAAGTAGTTTTCTTCAAGAGTATTTACAGTAAAGTGTTCTTTACTTTGCTAGAATGTGGTAGTTTGTGACTTAGGATTTGTGTTTTGTGTGTGCTCACTTTTATTTTAATGACAGAGCAAACTTGCCACTTTTGCAGTGACTGCTTACTTCTGAAAGAGTAGTATTCAGAACAATTTTCAAGTTTCTGAAGAGGGAAATGATAAAAAACTTGAGGACAAAGCTGGGTTTTCATAATAATAATCTCCAGCACCCTAAATTAACAGACCCAAAGACTCCTGTATGCTACTTCATTAACCACGTGGATGCTTCACAAATCTTGGTATATTCATACTGTTCCAATGGCAATTTCGTACCAAGCAGTACTTAATCTCATTTGCCTTTTTAGAGAGAGCTTATATTTTTGTTGAGCTTAGAAACATATTTTTTTCTTATGTCTTATTTTTTGTTAAATTAGATGTTGTAGTCAGCATTCAAAAATGGTTATGGAAACTGTATTTGAGAAAGTGTGGGTGTGTGTATAATTAGCTATGGTGAAAGAGCAATAGATTCAGATTCAGGAGATGGCTTCTAGTATCTTCTGCTAAATCTGATCTTGGGCTTACTTAATCAGTGCACCTGCTGAGATGGCACCCTCACTGGTAAAATGACATCACTGCCTGATGACAGTCCAAGTTCCTCTTATTCTAAAATACCAGGATTTTGTTTGGGGGATAGCTATTTTCAGTGTGGTTTCCTTTCAAATACTGAATTGAAATGAAATATAAAACCTAGCTTGTTGCCTAATATTTCCACACTGTTCTCTTTTGGTAGAAATGCCATTAATATAGAGATCTTATATTGAAAACTCAAGTACAGTTTATTCATAGAAAATAACTTTATATTGTGAACATAAATATCAAAATGCTATGTTACCAACCCAAGTGTAAGTTTAATTTTTACAGTAGTTTACAGAGGAAAATTATGGGTAGAGAAAGTATCTAACCTTGGTAAAATGCCATTGCTCTTAGTTGGTTTAAGAATTAAAATATTTTAACTGTTTTTTTCCCCATTCTTTTTCAGGCTGGTACACCCCTCCAAAGGAAGATGGCTAAATGTGTTGACTTTTGTATGTTTGGACCAATGTTGCTTTAAAGAAAATCTTTCCAACATGCAGACACAAGCTTTGAGTGCCCCTATAACAGCAGTACCGAAGATGTTAGCTAATAGATATTTTAGTGGATAATCTGTCAACTGATCCAGTATAAGTTACAGCCTTTCCATTTTTCTCATTTTAGGTACCTTGGACTGAGCAGTGGGGCCTTTACTATATTTTTCCTGATAAATACACATACTGGCCACTCCTTATCTCTTTCTTTGAAAGGTGAAATGTGTTAAGCAGACAAGTCAGCATCAGGTTACTGAAGTTGCAACTTGAGGGCAACTTTCCCATTTTGAGCTCATGTGTTATGAGGATTTGCAATATATTGTTCCATTTAAAGCCAATAAAAGTTTAATTGATGTTTAATATTGGTTTAGAAAATTTAAGATGTTCTAAATCACAGTAGCTTTTTCAGGTTAAAACCATTTTATGATATTGCCAAAATAATGACAGGAAACATACTTATTAAACTGTTAAGATTTTTTTTTTTTTATGGCTATGAAGATCTGAATTGTTTTTCCAAGATTTGCTCTTTAGTAAGTTGTACTTTTTAGGCAAAGCAAAGCAAGGCTGTGCCAATTCAGGCTTGTAAGTAGTCATTTCCACTGGGGCATCAGAGTCTTGCTGGGCTGAATCTGCTTCTTGTTGGTTCAATATTTACTATGAAGAAGAGCTTGAAGTATAGAGCTTGAAGTTATTTTAAATACTAAGTCATTTTACGTTTCCATTTTATTAACGGGATGTTGCAATCAGTTGTAAACTAATAAACTTATAAAGTGATTGGCACAAAGACTCTTTGAACAAAAACTGCACAGTTAAGTACAAAAAGTATCTAATTTGGAGACCTAAAGTTTTTGCTATAGTCATAACAATGGCTTTTACATTGAAAGACTAATAGGAACTCTACATATATTAATTCTTTTATAAAACCTGACTTAAATCAGTGTACTCTCCATTTTATTGCCTTACCAGAATCAGTCCTGTTGGGTTGGTAGTAGATTTTTTTATATACCCAAATTTGATTTAAAAGTAAACTCTAGTTATTAAGCACTTTTAAAAAGAAATCCAGAAGCACATTTTTTCTGCACAAACCAATTACAAAGTTCAAAAGTGTTTCTTATGCTTTGAGACTCAGTTTTTAACTTTGTAAACCACATCTGAGAGACTTGGCACTTCTGCATTATTGTGTTTAATTTCCTTTTTTTTTCTATTTTGGTTAAGAAAACAGTAGAAAAAGATTTTCTGGCATTCTTGTTCACTTGGTTACATTTGTGTAAAGTTATGATCGCCAGTTGCTCAGATAAGTGACAAGGAAAAATTCTTTAAAGCATTAAAGTTCCTTAAACCTAAGGCTAAATCTTGAATACATTATTGAATTCTTTAATATCCTGATGGCTAGCAGATTGACAGCTGCACATTCGGCATGCTTTGTTTGTTTGTTTTTTTTTTGGTTTTTGGTTTTTTTGGGACTTTATTTTTCATTGCAGATTTATTTGGCAATGTACAGTAAATTTTGTAAACTTGCATCAAGTTTATGAATAAAGAACCATTTAAAAAATAACTTTGTCACTTTTCCCTCATAAAAGATAGTCTTTGCTTCAAGTTTCTACAGGCTGTTGGGTTTCTGGAATAGGATTATATATGGTGGGATGGGGTGAGAGGCTTGAGGGGAAGAGAGGCAGATTGATTTCACAAGAGAAAGCTAGAGAATCCAGAATTGGTGTGTATAGACTTGGAATACTCAGGGCTTCCTCAACCTGTTCCCTCTCCCACACTTATTTTTTAATATAAATTCAAGTGCTACTTTCTTTATGGCTGTCCCTAGTTCTCCAGGTTACTGTAATCTGCTCCCTCTTTAGTATACCCATAGCCTCTTACACAATTGTCAGTTTATCTCACATACAAGAAGTCCAGAGGTAGGAAAATTCTAGGCATGGTACCTCTGCTGCTTTGAGATTTTTCCATGTTGGTTTCATCTTTGGATAGACTGTTGTCTTGGATGTGCAGCCACCTTAATCCATCCAGAGGTAGATAATGGTCCTGTTGTCTAGTGTCTCCTTAGGAAGTGAGGAGCTCTTTAGAAGTCCCCCCCCACCCCCAAAGCATTATTGCCTCTCACTTTTCCTTGTCTAGAACTCGGGCCTGTGTCTACCCCTAAACTAATGGCTGGTGAAAAGAATGAGACCTTCATGATTAATATGGACCAGTGGTTCTCAAGTTATGATTTGGAGAAAGCTGGAGGCTCCTGAGACCCTTCTAGGAGGTTTTTAAGATCAAAACAATTCTCTTAACACTAAAGCATTATTTGCTATTTTCACTCTCATTCTTTTACAAGTGTACAGTGGAGTTTTCCAGAGGCTACGTGATGTGATAGACGTGATATTGTAACAGATTGAATTCAGAAGCAGATCAAGCTGTCTTCTATTAAGCCAGAAATTAGAGGTTTGCAAGATGTAAAGATGCTACACTTATTCAATATTGGAGGGGGAGAGTGGTGGAGATTTGGTAAAGTTATTTTTTCATAAGTTATTTTGTTTATGTGTCATGAATTTTAAGTGAATTAATATTACAATGTTTTAATTAAAAAAAATAAAATTTATTTATTTTTGGCTGCGTTGGGTCGTCGTTGCTGCATGTGGGCTTTCTTTTAGTTGCGGCGAGCAGGGGCTACTCTTCGTTGCGGTCCGCGGACTTCTTGTTGCGGTGGCTTCTCGTTGAGGAGCACCGGCTCTAGGCGCGTGGGCTTCAGTAGTTGTGGCTGGCAGGCTCTAGAGCACAGGCTCAGTAGTTGTGGCACGGGCTTAGTTGCTCAGAGGCGTGTGGGATCTTCCTGGACCAGGGCTTGAACCCGTGTCCCCTGCATTGGCAGGCGGGTTCTTAACCACTGTGCCACCAGGGAAGCCCCCAGTGTTTTAATTTTTAATGTAAATATAAATAGTCATAACCCATCTAAAGAAGCTCTTTAGTGTTGCCAGTATTTAAGATTGTGAAGCAGTCCTGAGGCCAAAATGTTTAAGACCAGCTTGTTTAGACCAACCAAATTTACCAGTCAAGAACTGGGCATCAGATCAGGCCCTTGTTAGCCAGGAAGCGGCAAGAGGAATAGATGTTAGCTGGGGATACAGCAGTATCTGCTGTGCTTACATTCCTTCTATCTGTGATTCTCAAGCTGGGTTTGCATCACGGGAAAGCTTAAATCACAGTAAAGCTGAAACTACGACTGCTGGGCCCCACCCCCAAGTGTTTAAGTAGACCTGGGGTGAGGACCGAGAATACGCCAAACGGAGTTTCTCAGGTGAATCTGATGCTACTAGCAGGGAACTAGTGTTTGGGGGCGTGCTTTCATAGAAATGGTAGGTGCTCTTTAAGCCGTTGAACACATTCAGAACTTGAGGGCTGCACGGTGTTGAATAAAGGTGGTGATTTTCACAGTTTATCTTAAAGCAGATACTGCCAGTTCAAAAATTGGACTCATGCGGTTAACAGGCATTGGGACTGTGAAGACCCATTATTTAGTCTGTGCCTTCCAGAACTCATGAATTAGAAAAAGACCTGTACCGACAAAGAAAATACCGCTGCAAGTGCAGTGAGAGGCACAGAAGGAGGTGGATGTGGTTCGACTGTGGAAAGCCACCTGGAAAGTTCCAGGAGGATTACACGACGCGTGGCCACCACCTCCAAGCACCTGCCGCCGCTCCCACACCAGCGCCGGAAACGCTTTGGCTTGGAGTCACGTGGGCGCCTCCTCAGCGGCACCACCTCCCCTGACCGGCCGGAAGTGGCGCGCGCGCCTGCTCAGTACGCGCACGGCCCGGCCTACGCCGCTCCCTCGGAGCCGCCGTACTGCTTCCCCGTCGGGTTGGTGAGGCATGGAGCCGGTGGGCGGTGGCGGTGGCGGTGGCGGTGATCGCCGCGGCTCCTCCCCCGCAGACCCGCGAAGCACCTTCGTGTTGAGTAACCTAGCGGAGGTGGTGGAGCGTGTCCTCACCTTCCTGCCCGCCAAGGCGTTGCTGCGGGTGGCCGGGTGAGGGGAGAGGAGGCGGGAAGCTTACCTCGGGACTTGCCTGGGCTGGCGGGGTGGGCGGATACCGTCGGGACCCAGGGATGACCCGGGCTCCCTATCCCTACCCCTGCCCCAGGTGGTGGCCCCATAAGCTAGGTATCCCGGCCGTAGTGCTCCCGGGGACCTTTCCCAGAGGAGCCAGGTTTTCTCTGCCCCCGGCTCTCCCTCCGAACCGGCGCCCGACGCCTCCCCCTCCCGGGGACTTTGGATCCCGCAGGAATCTCCTGCAGTTGCGCTAATGGGTGGTGGGGGCCGGTGGTTTGTGAGCCGCGGGAGAGAGGGAAGTGAACGTCCGTTCACAGCCCTTTGTGCGTTTGCGTCCCCAGCGTGTGTCGCTTATGGAGGGAGTGTGTGCGCAGAGTGTTGCGGACCCATCGGAGTGTGACCTGGATCTCCGCGCGCTTGGCGATTGCCGGCCACCTGGAGGAGCATTGCTTGGTCCGCGTGGTAGCTGAAAAGCTTGAGGTAAGTAAGAAGGGGTGTTGTGTACAGTCCTTTGCAGGGTTGGTGGGCCAGTCGTTGAGAACTAAATGCAACAATTTTGTATATGGCGTTACTTTTTGTAATTTAGGCAGGTTTTTCTCGTGACATGAAAAGATTTTGTAAACATCAGTTTTAATGACTATATTGTAAGGATGTGCCATGGCTGCTTTGACCGTTCTTCACGTATTGGGCACTTTATGTATCCAGATTGCCACTGTTATGAAAATGCTGTTTAGAACCATCCTTTTACCTGCTTTCCTTGTCACTGTTTTGCAGGGGTGGTAACTGAAGGCTCTCTGTTGCATAGTGTCACATAAAAATGCCAAGAACCAATACTTAAACCCCAAAATTTCAATCCCTGGTCCTGTTTAAAATTATATGTTTAGTATAATCTAAATTATTAAAAGCAAAAAAGGAAGAACAGAAAAGAAATAAGCCAAAATGCTAGCAACAGTTTCCTTTGGGGGTAGAAGTGTGTGTGTGTGTGTGTGTGTGTGTACACTGTGTTTTTAAAAACTTTTTCTTTTCCTTCAGATTTTTACCACTGCAAGTATTATTTTTATTTAGCTTTAAAAGTTTATATATTGTAAAGGCTGTTAAAGCCAGGCAGACATAGGTGTGAACCCAGCTTTGGCACATACTAGCTGTGTGACTTTGAAAATGTTACCTAAACCCTCTGAGCCTGTAAAATGAAAAGAAAATAATGCCGTTTACACTCTTACAGAGTTGTAAGGATTAAATAATGAAAAGTTAACCCATGTAACATTACCTACAGTGCCAGGAATATAATGTTTTCAATAATTGAAAGTATTATTCTCTATTAATATCATTACTAAAATTCATGTACTAATACCCTTAAAGAAATTTATACATTGTAGAAAACTCTATTGTGGAGACAAAAACATGAAAACCTTGTCCAAATCATTCATGCTCTTTTTCTTTGTGTTTGCCAAATTATCTAGTAGACATGATACTTTATAGCCATAAAGAAAGTTGATTTAGCATTTTTACTAGAAATATTTTAAAATCCACTGAAAATTTTATAAGACATCTTGTCATTTGGAACTTCTTTAAATGAGGTTCTAGTTGTCTTCTATTTTGCTTTGAGAACATTTCATGTTGATGATTGCCACTGTCACTTCTAGTGAGACTTGGGAAGGAAAATTCAGCAGTTGCTTCTCAGTATGTACCAGAAAAGAGAATCATAAAACCTCAGGGTTAGACTTCCAAACTTTAAGAATAGGAAACCCAGGGCCTAAGCACTTCCAGGAGTTATTCTGCTGGTTTATGGCAGAGTCAGCACTAACACCTAAATCTCTTAAATTCTCTCTCCTTTACTCACTATACCCAGCATCACAAACTCAAATGACTCCAGAGTTAGGTAACTCACAGTGGGTGGATGACTCAGTGTGCCATCATAAAAAGTGATAGGGCTATGGCAGACCAGGTAGTGCTTGCTTCTCCTTGGCCCCAGTCAAGGGGAATGCAGTCTAATAAGTGTTGCCAGAATGTCTACTTTTTCAAAATAAATCCACATTTTATATAAATATTTTGTGGGAATTTTAAATGTTGGCAACCGAAATACATGTGTGTGTCTGTCTGCTTTGTTTTCTTCGGGAAAATTAATTATTTTACAATTTAAGTATACTTAACTTACATCACTAAGTTAGTTCCAGATGCACAATATAGTGATTTAATATTTCTATACATTACAGAATGATCGCCATAAGTCTAGTTCTCCTCTGTCACCATACAGAGTTATTATAATATTGATTATATTCCCCATGCTGTACATTTCATCCCTGGGACTCATTTATTCTGTAACAGGGAGGTTGTACCTCTTAATCTCCCTTACCTGTTTTACTCATCCCCCAACTTTCCTCCCCAATGACAACCACCTGTTTATTCTCTATCTATGATTGTTTCTGACTTGTTACATTTGTTCATTTGTTTTGTTTTTTAGATTCCACATATAAGTTAAATCATATGATATTTGCCTTTCTCTGACTTATTTTACTTAGCCTAATACCCTCTAGGTCCATCTGTATTGTCACAAATGGCAAGATTTCATTCTTTTTTTATGGCTGAGTAATATCACATTGTAGGTATACCACATCTTTATCCGTTCATCTATTTGTGGGCACTTAGGTTGCTTCTGTATCTTGGCTATTGTAAATAATGCTGCAGTGCATATATCTATTCAAATTAGTGTTTTTGTTTGTTTTTTTTTTCCTCCCAGAAAAATACCCAGAGGTGGTATTGCTGGTCATATGGTAGTTCTGTTTTTAATTTTTTGAGGAACTTTCATACTGTTTTCTACAGTGGCTATATCATTTTACATTCCCATCAACGATGCATGAAGTTACCTTTTCTCTGCATCCTTGCCAACACTTATTGTTTCTTCTCTTTGATAGTACCTATTCTGACTAGTATGAGGTGGTATCTTGTTATGGTTTTGATTTGCACTTCTCTGATGATTAGTGATGTTGAACATCTTTTCATGTGTCTGTTGCTTGTCTGTAAGTCTTCTTTGGAGTCTATGCAGGTTCTCTGCCCTTTTTTATATATAAATAATTTTTATTGAAGTATGGTTGCTTTACTCTCCCTATTTATTAATTGTGTTGTTTGTTTTTTTGGATAAGTTATATGAGTTCTTTGTAGATTTTGGATATTAACCCCCATAAGAGATACATATTGTTTGCAAATATCTTCTCCCATTCAGTAGGCTGCCTTTTGATTTTGTTGATAGTTTCTTTCACTGTGCAAAAGCTTTTTAGTTTGATGTAGTCCCATTTGTTTATTTTTGCTTTTGTTTCCCTTGCCTGAGAACACATATCCAAAAAATATTGTGAAGACTCATGTCAAAGAGTGTACTGCCTATGTTTTCTTCTAGTAATTTTATGGTTTTAGGTATTACATTTAAGTCTTTAATGCCTTTTGAGTTTATTTTTGTGTACAGTGTGAGAAAGTAGTCTAGTTTGATTCTTCTGCATGTAGCTCTTCAGTTTTCCCAACACCATTTATTGAAGAGGCTGTCTTTTCCCCATTGTATATTCTTGCCTCCTTCGTCATAGGTGAATTGACTATGTAAGTGTGGGTTTATTTCTGGACTCTATTCTGTTACATTGATCTATGTGTCTGTTTTTGTGCCAGTACCACAGTGTTTTGATTACTGTAGTATAGTTTGAAATCATGGAACATGATACCTCCAGCCTTGTTCTTTTTTCTCAAGGTGGTTTTGGCTATTCCGGGTCCTTTGTGTTTCCATACAAATTTTAGAATTATTTGTTGTAGTTTTATGAAAATGCCTTTTGGTATTTTCATAGGGATTGCATTGAACCTATAGTACGTTGGGGCGTATGGTCATTTTCACAATATTAATTCTTCAGTTGATGACCAGAGCATATCTTTCCATTTGTGTCATCTTCCGTTTCTTTCATCAGTGTCTTACGATTTTCTGAGTACAGGCCTTTTACCTCCTTGGTTATTTTATTCCTAGGGTTTTTTTATTTAAATTATTTTCTTTATTTTTTTGGCTGCATTGGGTCTTAGTTGAGGCACATGGGATCTTCGTTGAGGCATGGAGGATCTTTCATTGTGGCACACGGTCTCTTCATTACAGCGCTTGGGCTTCTCTCTAGTTGTGGTGGGTGGGCTCTGTAGTTTGCGGCATGTGGGCTCACTCGTTGAGGTGTGTGAGTGCAATAGTTGTGGTGTGCGGGCTTAGTTGCCCTGCGGCATGTGGGATCTTAATTCCCCAAACAGGGATCGAACCCACGTTCCCTGTGTTGGAAGGCAGATTCTTTACCACTGGACCACCAGGGAAGTCCCTTTTATTATTTTTTTAATATCTATTATTTAGGCTGCGGCATGTGGGATCTTTGTTGCTGCGTGTGGGATCATTTTAACTGCAGCATGTGGGATCTTTAGTTGCAGCATGCAGGATCTTTAGTTGTAGCATCCTGGCTCTTTTAGTTTGGGCATGCGGGATCTAGTTCCCTGACCAGGGATTGAACCCAGGCCCCCTGCATTGGGAGCATGGAGTCTTAACTGGACCACCAAGGAAGTCCCAGTTCTTTTTGATATAAATGATGTTTTCTTAATTTCTCTTTCTGATAGTTCTTTGTTAGTGTATAGAAACACAACAGATTTCTGTATATTGATTTTGTATCCTGAAACTACTGAATTCAGTTAATAGCTCTAATATGTTTTTGGTAGTTTCTTTAGGGTATTCTATATATAGTATTATGTTATCTGCAAACAGTGAGAGCTTTACTTCTTCCTTTCCAATTTGGATTCCATTTATTTCTTTTTCTTGTCTGATTGCCATGGCTAGAACTTGCAATACTATGTTGAATGAAAGTGGCGAGAGTAGGCATCCTTGTCTTGTTCCTAATCTTAGAGGAAATGTTTTCTTTCAGCTTCTTACTATTTAGTATGGTGTCTATTTAGTATGATGTTAGCTGTGAGTTTGTCATATATGGCCTTTATTATGTAGAGGTATGTTTCCTCTATATCCACTTTTTGGAGTTATTATCATAAATGGATATTGAATTTTGTCAAAAACTTTTTCTGCATTTATTGAGATGATCATATTTTTATTCTTAAGTTTGTTCGTGTGGTGTATTACATGGATTGACTTGCAGATATTGAACCATCCTTGCATCCCTGGGATAAATTCCACTTGATCATGGTGTATAATTCTTTTAATGTATTTGGTGTGCTTATACTTTGTTGAGGAGTTTTGCATCTGTGTTCATCAGGGGTATTGGCTTGTAATTTTCCTTTTTTGTGGTGTCTTTATCTGGTTTTGGTACAGGGTGATGCCTCATAAGAATGAGTTTGGAAGCATTTCTTCCTCTTCTTTTTTTTGGAATAATTTGAGAAGGATAGGTGTTAACTCTAAATGTTCAGTAGAATTCACCCGTGAAGCTCCATGGTCCTGAACTTTTGTTTGGGAGTTTTTAAACTACTGATTCAGTTTCAGTGTTGCTAGTTGGTCTGTTCATATTTTCTGTTTCTTTCTGATTCAGTCTTAGGATATTATATGTTGCTAGAAATTTATCCCTTTCTTCTAGGTTGTCCATTTTATTGGCATGTAATTGTTTTTTTTTTTTTTTTTTTTTTTTTTTTTTTTTGGGGGCTTTTTTTTTTTTTTTTTTCTTCCTTTGCGGAGCACAGGCTCCAGATGCGCAGGCTCAGCGGCCATGGCTCACGGGCCCAGCTGCTCCGCGGCATGTGGGATCTTCCCTGACTGGGGCACGAAACCGTGTCCCCTGCATCGGCAGGCAGACTCTCAACCACTGTGCCACCAGGGAAGCCCATGGCATGTAATTGTTGATAGTAATCTCTTCAGATCTTTTGTATTTTTGTGAGGTCAGTTGTAACATCTCCTTGACCATTTTATTTTACTGATTTCAGCTCTCTTTTTCTTGATGAGTCTGGCTAAAGGTTTATCTAAATTTTGTTTATCTTTTCACAGAACCAGCTCTTAGTTTCTTTGCTCTTTCCTGTTGTTTTACTGTCTCTATTTCATTTATTTCTGCTCTGAGCTTTATGATTTCTTCTAACTGGGTTTGTGTGTTCTTCTTTTTCTAGTTCCTTTAGGTATAAGGTTAGGTTTTGTACTGAGATTTTTCTTGTATTCTGAGGTAGGCTTGCATTGCTATAAACTTACCTCTTAAAACTGCTTTTGCTGCATCCCACAGATTTTGGATCGTGTTTCCATATTCATTTGTCACCAGGTATATTTTTCTTGTCACCAGGTATTTGATTTCTTCAGTTACCCTTTGGTTACTTAGTCACATATTGTTTGGCCCACCAGTGTTTTTTTGCCATTTTTTTTTCTTGTGGTTAATTTCTAGTCTCATAGTGTCGTGGTCAGAAAAGATGCTGGATGTGATTTCAGTCTTCTTAAATTTATCGAGACTTGTTCTGTGGCCTAGAATGTTATCTACCCTAGAGAGTGTTTGATGTGCACTTGAAAATAATGTGTATTCTGCTGCTTTTGGATGGAATGTTCTATATGTTATAGCTATTAAGTCTGTCTATCGTAATGTATTGTTTAAGGCCAGTGTTTCCTTGTTGATCTTCTCTCTGAATGATCTGTCCATTGATGTAAGTGGGGTGTTAAAGTCCCCTACTATTATTTTGTTACTGGGACTTTCTCCCTTTGTTTCTATTTGGTTTATGTATTTAGGTGCTCCCTTTTTGGGTGCATATATATTTACAATTGTTATATCTTGCTGGATCAATCCATTTATCAAAGTAATGCTACCCATCTTGCTTTTCATTTCCATTTCCATGGAATACCTTTTTCCATCCCCTTACTTTCAGTGTGTGTGTCTTTAGATCTGAAGTGAGTTTCTTCTAGGCACTATGTATAAGGGTCTTATTTTTTCACCCATTCAGCCAGTCTGTGTCTTTTGATTGGAGCATTTAGTCTGTTTACATTTAAATTAATAATTGATAAGTATGTACTTATTGCTGTTTTGTTCATTGTTTCCAGGTTGCTTTTGTAGTTCTTTTTTGCTTCTTTTGCTTGCCTCCCTTGTGATTTGATGACTATCCTTAGTGTTAGGTTTGGATTCCTTTATCGTGTGTGTACCTTTTTTTTTTTAAATTTGTTTTATTTTATTTTATTGGCTGCGTTTTGGTCTTCTTTGCTGTGTGCAGGCTTTCTCTAGTTGTGGTGAGTGGGGGCTACTCTTCGTTGAGATGCGTGGGCTTCTCATCATGGTGGCTTCTCTTGTTGCGGAGCACGGGCTCTAGGCGTGAGGGCTTCAGTAGTTGTGGCTCACGGGCTCTAGAGTGCAGGCTCAGTAGTTGTGGCTCGCGGGCTTAGTTGCTCTGCGGCATGTGGGATCTTCCCAGACCAGGGCTTGAACCCATGTCCCCTGCATTGGCAGGCGGATTCTTAATCTCTGCGCCACCAGGGAAGCCCTGTGTGTGTATCTATTATAGATTTTTGGTTTGTAATTACCTTGAGGTTCATATATAACAGCCCATGTATATATTTGTGATTATTTTAAGTTGATGATTCTTAAGTTCAAACACATTCTAACAAACCTGAATCCACCCCCACCTTTTATTGTTTTTTTTACATTATATTTTCCTTTTTTGTTTGTTTGTTTGTGTCCCTTAACTACTTTTTGTGGATATAGATGATTTTATTACTTTTGTCTTTTAACCTTCCTACTAGATTTTTATATTGCCTAGTGTGGTGTTTTTCTTTTCTGTTTAGAGAAGTCCCTTAAACATTTCTTATAAAGGCTGTTTACAGGTGCTGAACTCTTAGGATTTGCTTGTCTGTAAAACTCTATATCGCTCCTTCAAATCTGAATAATAGCCTTGCCAGATAGACTGTTCTTGGTTGTGTATTTTTTCCTTTCATCACATTGAATATATCATGCCGTTCCCTTCTGGCCTGCAAAGTGTCTACTGAAAAATTTGCTGACAGTGTTATTGGAATTCCCTTGTACCTAACTAGTTGCTTTTCCCTTGCTCCTTTTAAGATTCTCTCTTAATCTTTAATTTTTGCCCTTTTAATAACAGTGTGTCTTGGTGTGGACCTCTGAGTTCATCTTGTTTGGGACTGTGCTTCCTGGACCTGGATGTCTGTTTCCTTTCCCAGATTAGGGAAGTTTTTAGCTACTGTTCTTCAAATAAGTTCTCTGCCTCTTTCTCTCTCCTCGACTTCTGGGACCCGTATATTGTAAATGTTAGTACTCTTGATGTTGTCCCAGAGGTTTCTTAAACTGTTGTCATTAAAACAATTTTTTTTTGTTCTGTTCAGCTTAAGTAGTTTGTACTATATGTTTTAGTACACTCATCCATTCCTCTGTATCATCTAAGCTACTGTTGATTCTTTCTAGTGTGTTTTTTACTTCAGCTATTGTGTTTTTCAGATCTGTTTGATTCTTCTTTATCACTTACTGTTAAACTTCTCACTGTGTCCGTTCTTTTCCTGATTTCATTGAGCATCTTTGTAATCGTCATCTTGCACTCTTTATCAGGTAGATTGCTTATCTCTCTTCACTTACTTTTTCCTCTGGGATTTTGTCTTGTTCCTTTGTTTGGGACATATTCCTCTGTCACTTCATTTTGCCTGATTTTTCTGTTTTTATTTCTTTGTATTAGGCAGGTCATTTATGCTTCCTGATCTTGGAGAAGTAGGAGATGTCCTGTGGGGCCCAGGAGCTCTGGTCACCAGAGCTATATCCTCTAGGGATGCCCCTTATGTGGGCTGCAAGGGCCCTTCTGCTGTGGCAGGGCTGATTACTGTGGGTGTGCTGGTAGGCAAGGCTGGCCCCCCAGCCTTATTGGCTGCCAGGTGCTCCTCATGTGGAGGCTGCCAGCTGCTGGTGGGTGGGGCTGGGTCCTGGTGAAGTTGGCTGTGTGGCCTGGAGAAGGGGCTGGAGCTGGTGGGTAGGTAAGCCCTCGGCACTAGTAGACTAGAGGGAGGACTCCAAAATGGTGCTAGCCAGCATCAGTGTTTTCCTGCTAGAACAAGTTCCTGTAAATGGCTGCTGCTAGTGTCTCTGTCCCTAGGGAGAGTCCCAGTTGCCTCCTGCCTCTCCAGGAGGCTCTCCAAGATCAGGAAGTATGTCTGACCCAGGCTTCTTTCAAATTACTGCCTCTTAGCTGGGACTCAGGGCATATGAGATTTTGCATGCACCCTCTATGAATAGAGTCTCTGTTTCCTCCAGCCCTCCGGCTCTTCTGTACACAAGCCCCGCTGGCCTTCATAGCCAGATGTTCTGGGTCCTCATCTTCGTGGTACAGGACCCCTGGGCTGGAGAGTCCAATGTGGGGCTCGGATCCCTCACTCCTTGTGGAGAACCTCTGCAATTGTGATTATCCTCCCATTTGTAGGTCACCTATTCAGGGTGTGGGTCTTGACTATACTGTATCTCCAGTTTCCCCCTTCTGCCCTTCTCATGGTGGTTCCTTCTTTATGTCTTTAGTTGTGGAAAATTTTTTCTGCTAGTCTTGAAGTTGTTCTCATCAATAGTTCCTCTATAAATAGTTGTAATTTTAGAGTGCCTGTGGTAGGATGTGAGTCAAGGTCTTATCACTCTGTTATCTTAGCCACTCCTCCCCAAATTATATTCTTTGAAAATGCCTTGTGGACCAAGGAAACTATATCCATAGGTCTTATCCAGCCCGTAAGCGACCTCAGGGTCATCATTCTATCTCAGTATGTTTTATGAGTTTGTCTATATGGAATCTATTCTGAAACATCTTAACTTTCCGAAATCAACATTTCTTTTTCATTTAGTCAGTGTTGAGGCTTTGCTATATGCTCACTTCTTCATTCCATTTTGATAGTAAAAATCTTTGAAAATAACCAACTTAGGAGGAAAAATATGTTCACCTTTTCATTTAGTTGAGCCACTTTGCCACTTGTCTGTTACGAATTTTGGTAGAAAACAAATAAGCCCAAGTTGTAAGGGCTTACAGCCCTCCCTTGTAAGTGGAGATAAGACACAAACAAGAATGACTGGGATGTCAGGGATGTCGCATGTGAGGTCAGAGGTCCTAAGGAAGTCTAGGAAAAGGTTTTATGGAGGGTCTGGCACTTAACGCTGTTTCTTAAGGGAAACAATCTTAAGTACAAAAGGAAGAGAGCTGCAGAAGAATATATACAGAAGCGGGCTTGTCTGGATAGTAGTGAGCAATAGATTCCTGTAGGAAACTAGTTGGCAAGCTGGAAGTGAAGACCTGGATTATTTAATTCGGTAGGCAATGAAAAGAGGAATCATACGGTCTGTATACCTTCCCTCTGTTGCTGAGATGTTTCTGTTGCTGTGGTACCTGTTCACATAAAGCAAGTGGAATCTTTTGCTGGTACTTAATGTTTTTGTTTAAGAGCTTAAATTATTGTGAAAATGAACTTCTTGAGTCAAGCTGGAATGAGTTTGACTTGAAGAAATAATAGATGCTCAACAAATGAATGAACTGAAAATGAAAGCTCATGAGTGAAAAATGAGTGAGAAATGGATCGACTCAGAATGCCAATACTGACCTGAAGGGAGGGTAGGGCAACAGTAGTTTGGACCAGGGCAGAACTTTAAGGGACCACAAAAGCATTCATAGATTTGTGTGATCAGGTTCTGATTTTTTTTTTTTTTCCTTTGCAGAATGTCCATATCTTACCACAGACAGTTCTTTACATGGCTGATTCAGAAACTTTCATTAGTCTGGAGGAGTGTCGTGGCCATAAGAGAGGTGAATATCAAAGGAAAAAGTTTTGGATTTTTTTTTTTTCGTTCCCTGTGTACATCTTTTTGGAGATAAATACTATTCTCATTCTGAGAGTTACTGACTTTCTGAGGCTATGGGCCTACTCCCTGGAGAATGCATGAATATGCTGTCTTTGAACTTTGAGAAGCCCTTTTGCTTTGAAGATTGATTTCTAAACCTTGTGGTACAATTGAAACAAATTCTTTACTTTAGTAAGGTGTTTTTCTCTTTTTGAAATACTTGAATCCTCCAGGCACTTCTTTTTACTATTAAAACAGGATGTCTTTGGGTATTCAAGCCTTTTATTGTATTGGATGACCATTTACCAAGGTTATCTGTAGATACTGTGCATTCTTGGCTTGCTAAACGAAGAAGCAGACTATATCCCATGTTGGGCACACTGAGGCCCAGAGTTAGACTTGGATAGTGGATTATCATTGTCTGATTTGAATCCAGGTGACAGTGTGGTAGAAAAGTCATTATGCTTTAATATCAGCTGAACAGAAAGGTATAATAGTAAATCTGAAAATCAGCTGCTGCTGCTGCTGTCATTGAGGCAGAAGCAGTATGTGAACAAGTAAAAGAAGGCAAACTGGCAATGTTTAAGGTCAGATTTAGAATTTAACATATAAAACAAGGGCTCAAAACAGAAAAACTTTTTTGTTTTTAATCAAAGTTTTTAGACTTCCTTTTAAAGTATTCTCGTGTAAAATAATTTAATATTTGCTTTTTTTCCCCTTCCTCATCAAATTTGACCTTAAATGGATGACATTGAATAATTTTCCTGTGTTATTACAGCCAGGAAAAGAACTTCTATGGAAGCAGCATTTGCCCTTGAGAAGCTGTTCCCAAAACAATGCCAAGTCCTTGGGATTGTGACCCCAGGGATTGTAGGTGAGAGAATACCAACTTGCTTTCCTTGCTTTGCATTAATGTGGGGTCCTATAGATTGGTGGGTTATTTGTAGCTTAACAGCATGTTTATATTTTTGGCCATCCAAAGTACAATAAAGTTGGTCATATATACCATCGTATTATATTTCACTTATATTAATTTTCCTTAGGTTATTGTGGTTAATATTTCAAATCTCAGGGCTGTCCATGTAAACCAAATCTAATTCATATCTTTCCAGGAGCCATTCATAAGAGGACAGAGATCTCATTCTTCCTTTCTACAAACTGGGAAGTATTAGCAAGCATTCTTTCTTTCGTCAGTTCAGCCAGAACTGTTTCTGGTGGATGGGGTGAGGTAGGGCTGGGATCAGGAACTGCAGTAGGCCTTACTAGGAAACTTCTCTTTCTCTGCTTGGCTGCCACTGTTTGAAGTTTATAGCAGGAACTTTCCAAGTTTGCTACTGGTGAATTTTTGCTGGTTTTAATTATTTTGACTTCTGTATCTAATGGGGGGAGCGGGATCCTGTTAAAGCTGTCATGGTGCAGTGGTTCGCATCCCTAGATTGGGATCCCAGCTGTACCACTTTAGTATCGGTATGACTTTGGGCGAGTTAGCTGACCTCATGGGGCTTCAGTGTCCCCATCTATTACATGGGGGTGATTGACAGTACCTTCTTCAGAGGGTTTGAGGATTAAATGAGTTAGCACATGTACAGCATTTAGAATAAAGATATGCAATAAGCGGTAACTAAGTGTTAGCTATTATTATTTCTTGTTGCACTCCGTAAATGGCATTTTTAATCTTCACTGAGAGACTTCTGATTGGAATTTAGGAGTCTTGTACAATGAACTACAAAGGATTTCAAGTGTTTACAGATGAATAAGGGTAAATGTATGGTTGATGGGGGACTGTTTCATCCCTCCTGCTATCAGCTCCCACCCCTATACTATTATATCAGCCCCATCACCACAAATTTTGTTTCTCATTGGGTTAAAAAAAATGACAGCAGTGACTGATTTTCTTTTAACTTTCAAATTTTCCTTAAATGAGTGATCTAGTTTTTACCATTATTAGTTATTAACAAATGCTTCTATAGAAACATAGCTTTCATTTCTTACATCATTTGGTTAGACCTCCCCACCATACACTCTGTGGCGTCCTCAAAGCATGACTAAGGTTCTCCTCTTTAAAATTTCAGCTGGGGGTTAGGGACAGGAGAGGGCGGGCCAACCTGGGCAACACTCTTGCCTCCATGACCCCATAGTGAGGGGTGGGCAGTCTACCTGAAGCCTTCCTCTCATGTTTGCCATGTTTCAGAGCAGTTGGTCATCTTTCTAAGTTCTCTTAACGATCTTCATGTCGGGAGTGAGTATCATTCCAACTCCCTTTAGTCGGGACCTGTCCTCTTGTGTTTTCTTGGACCTACTCCTTACCCTTCTTATTGATTCTTGTTCCCACAGCTGAGCACTTTCTTTGTTCCACATATGTCACAGAAAAACTTCCACCAAGACAGTTGATTGGATTCCTTTTTCTTAGGCCACAGTTAGTCATTATTTCTAAAATAGCCATTGGCTACTAACCCATCTTCGTTCTTTAGGTTGGAAAAATTTCAAGTTTGAGAATTTGTTCATTTTTATATATACAGAGATCATTTTCTTTCTTAATTGAGGTAAACTTTACTTACAGTGAAATGCACAATCCTGAGTGTACAGTTTAACGAGTTTTTTTTTTGTTTTGCGGTATGCGGGCCTCTCACTGCTGTGGCCTCTCCTGTTGTGGAGCACAGGCTCTGGACGCGCAGGCTCAGCGGCCATGGCTCACGGGCCCAGCCACTCCGCAGCATGTGGGATCTTCCCGGACCGGGGCACGAACCCGCATCCCCTGCGTCGGCAGGCTGACTCTCAACCACTGCGCCACCAGGGAAGCCCCAGTTTAATGAGTTTTGACAAATTCATATCCTGGTGAAACTGACATGCTAGTCAATATTTAGTATGTTTCCATCACCCCAGGAAGTTCCCTCATGCCCTCTTCCTGCCATTCCCTACTTCCGTAGGAAACCCCAGTTCCAGTTTCAGTGACCATAGGTTAGTTTGGCCTGTTGGTGAATGTAATATAAATGGAATTATGTTATATACTCTCTTTATCTTGGCTCTTTCACTCAACATAAATATTTTTAACAACATAATATTTTTGAGACTCATGTTATTTTGCATATGAGTAATTCATTAAAATTCTAGAGTAGTATTCTGTGACTTAACTTGAATTAATTTTTGTGTATGGTATAAGGTAGGTTCAGGGTTAATTTTTTTTCATATGTTTATCTAGGTATTCCAGTGCCATTTGTTGAAGACTTTTCTTCCTCATTAAATTGTCTCAGCACCTTTGTCAAAAATAATTGGCTGTATGTTTGTGGGTCTGTTTCTGGATTTGATTCTGTTCAATTGATTTATTTGTGTATCCTTAAGCCAGAGTCATATTACTGTAGGTCTTGATGTTCTTTTTAAAGATTGATTTCCATAGATCTTGATGTCCTTCTTTTAAAAAATTGCTCTGGCTATCTAGGTCCTTTGCATTTCCACATATATTTTAGAAGCATCCTGTCAATTTCTATAACAAAGCCTATTGGCTTTTAATTCGGATTGTCTTGAGGCCTGCTACGGACAAAAAAAATTGCTTTTATGTTTTGATATTTTTTTGTAGAAGAGGGCCTCATAATAAACTCTGAAATTTTATTTTCATGTTTTTAAATTCAGAATATGTTATGTGGGGTTTGATTAGATTCTGAAATTTTCTCTGAAAATTTTTTTTTCCATTTTGTTCTATCTTTGGTTTCTAAAAGGCTTATTAACACTTTTTTTTAAGAGTTTCCTTTTTATACTAGTAAGAGCCATTTACTGTTTTTAAAAAAAAGTAAAGGAAAATTAGAAAAGCAAAAAAGAAAAAAATTAAGCTACTTTAAGCTTTAAGTAGAGTTAACCACTCTGTTAAGTTTATGATGCATAACCTTCCAGACTTTCGGTATGTAGTACAGAGTATAGATACAGATAGGTATGTAGTATAGATATATGTATATATGTGTGTATATGTATGTGCGTGCATAAAATATGTATTTATATATTTATATAAAATACAGTTTTCAGTGAACTTGTAATCTGCAGTATTTGTATCGATCTGCCAGGGCAGCCATAACAAAATACTATAGACTGGATGGCTTAAACAACAGAAATTTATTTTCTCACATTTCTGGAGTCTGGAAGTCCAAGGTGTTGGCATTTTTCCTTTCTTCTGAGGCTTCATTCTTTGGCTTACATACAGCCACCTGCCTTCTCACTGGGTCCTCACATAGCTTTTTCTCTTTTCTCTGTATGCCTTCATCTCTGATGTTTCTTCCTCTTCTTGAAAGGACACCAATCTTACTGGATTAGGGCCTGACCCTTGTGACCTCATTTAACCTTAATTGCCTCTTTATTTAAAGGCCTTATCTCCAAATACAGTTATATATATGTGTGTGTGTGTATTTCAGTTCTACATACACACAATATATATAGTGTATATAATTGTCAAATATTCTATGATAAATTTTACAAGTAGAATTGCTGTGAAGATGTAGTTACTACCCTCCCCCAACTTTTTATTTAGAAAAGCTTCAAACCTATAGAAAAGGGGAAAGAATAATAGAATAGTACAATAAACACCCATATATCCTTCATCTAGATTCACTGTTGTAAAAAATTTTGCAACATTTGCTTTTTCTGTCTTTGTTTATGAAAACATTTCTTTCTGAACAATTTGAAAGTAAATTTTAGGCATCATGACCTTATACCTCTAAAAATTTCAAAGCTGAGAAACTCTTATTCACATAGTGGCCTGTTACCTTATTGATTATGTTAGTGACCTAAACTGAAGTTACCTAGGTGTGGCTGGGTAATTTACACCAGATGAAACTTCTGTTTTTATTGAATCTGTTCACAAAACTGTTTAACTTTTTTCCTAGTGACGCCAATGGGATCAAGTAGCAATCCACCTCAGGAAATAGAAATTGGAGAATCTGGTTTTGCTCTATTATTTCCTCAAATTGAAGGAATAAAAATAAAACCCTTTCATTTTATTATGGATCCAAAGAAATTAACACTAGAAAGGCATCAACTCACTGAAGTAGGTAAGTTGTTATTATTTACCATTAATTGCCCGTATTGTTGATTGATTTTGTTTGTTACTTTGAGAGAGTCTGAATTAAGTACACGTTACTGCAGATGTGGATAATTCAAATTAGTGATTAACAGAGGCTAGTGCAATATTGTTTTTGGTAGAATGGATTTACATTTTAAATTATTTTACTTACATTAAAGCCTGAGAGAACCAGAGATGAATTTTCTGTATTTAATTCTGAATTTTGAAGGATTTCTTCCTCTTTGAACATTTTCTATTTTTTAAAAAATTATTTGGCCATGTTGGGTCTTTGTTGCTGCGCGTGGGCTTTCTCTAGTTGCGGCGAGCAGGGGCTACACTTCATTGCGCTGCGCAGGCTTCTTATTGCGGTGCGCAGGCTTCTCATTGCGGTGGCCTCTCTCATTGCGGAGCACCGGCTCCAGGTGCGCGGGTTTCAGTAGTTGTGGCTCGCAGACTCCAGAGCGCAGTCTTAGCAGTTGTGGCTCACGGGCCTAGTTGCTCCGCAGCACATGGGATCTTCCCGGACCAGGGCTCAAACCCGTGTCCCCTGAATTGGCAGGCGGATTCCCAACCACCGCACCACCAGGGAAGCCCTTGAACGTTTTCTTATCATTTTGCCCTATTTTGTTTTTTGAAGCTGAAAAGTTTCTATTTTGTTTTTTGAAGCTGAAAAGTTTAAGGTTTTATTTCTCTTTTATGCTAGTAATAAGCATTTGTTTTTTCAAAAATTAAAAGATACAGGTTAGTTCAATATTGACTAATTAGAAAGACGGGAATAAGTGTAACGAACTTGATAAGTTTTAGAAATAGTGTAAGTTAAGGCAGAGTATATCAAACAACGGTTTAGTAGGATATGTCAGGCAGGAAGCTTGGCTGGAGTAGACAGGTCATGCATGAGGTGATTTTTTTTTTTTTTTGCGGTACGCGGGCCTCTCACTGTTGTGGCCTCTCCCGTTGCGGAGCACAGGCTCCGGATACGCAGGCTTAGCAGCCACGGCTCACGGGCCCAGCCGCTCTGCGGCATGTGGGATCTTCCCGGACCAGGGCACGAACCTGTGTCCCCTGCATCAGCAGGCAGACTCTCAACCACTGCGCCACCAGGGAAGCCCCATGAGGTGATTTTGAAGAGGTAAAGGGTTAGCTCAGTTTCTAAGCTCTGATAAGAAAGCTTAATTTAATATAGTAAGCAACAAACTAATTATTCAAGCAAAGCAGTGTTAAGGCCTTGCATCTACCTCTGCAGATGAACTGATTGGGGTTAACTTGTTAGAGAAGCTTGTTTGGCCTTTGACTCAGTGCTTTTGCTGAAGGTCATATTGCCAAGCCTCCTCTGTACTGTCTTTTTGAGTCCAGAAGTAAGTGTGGTGCCTCCTGGGCATGCTCCCCTCTGCCCTATAGCAACCTGGGGATCCATGATTGAGGTCCTCATGGTATGCTTGAAGCTAGAAGCCTAGTTTTGTCCATTTACAAGAAAGACCCAAAATCTTGAGTGGAAGGAACCATCTATTTTATGATAAAATAGTTATTAGATTTGTTTTAGACCTTGTTTGCATTATAGTGCTAAATAAGTATGGGAATCAGAAAACTGAAATGAAAAAGAGCCCTACGTTTTTCTGCTGTGTGAAGCGTTTTTATTGGTGTCCTTTCCCTAAGCTGTTTGCTGTCAACAAGTTTGGCTTATTCCAAGGCATCATTTTCATCCTGTTCGTGGCCTTCTGGAAATTGAGGCTTTGCCTAGATTGAGATGATAATCTCTATTCTTTCCCATACTATTTTCTTCACTTCTAAAATTGGACCATTGTCTTTTATGTGGACGAGAAGATGGAGGCCTCTGAGGTGGGCAAGGAGTGAGTGGTTGGAGCCTGTGGGACGTGCCTTCTCCAGAGTCCCAGCCTGCACTCCTGAACCAGACACCCGGAGCAACTCTTATCTATGTTCCATGACAGTGGAAGGCACCCCGTTCCTGGTAGTGTCCCTCAGGCTCGGCACACTTTCTCTGTAAAGGCCAGATAGTGAATATTACAGGTTTTGCCAGTGATACAGCCTCAGTTGCATCTATTCAACTCTGCCGTTGGGAGTGCAGAAGCAGCTATAGACAGTACATAAAAAATCAGCTTTGTTCCAATAAAACTTTATACAAAAGCAGGGGTGCCGGATTTGGCCCCTGGGCTGTGGTCTGTCTTCCCCTGCGTTGTAGACTTGGCCACTCTGACTAGAAGGTGGTGTGTGAGCAAACAAAGCAGCTCGGCCTCCTGTGAAATAGGCAGTGCCTCTGTGCGCAGGGACCTCGTGTGTGATATTATAGTTTTTCCAGACCCTGTGTATAGGGAGTGTCGTAATCAGACCCACTGTCACGGTACGTATAAATTTTATATACACATACACATGCACACTTTCTTTTATATTCTTTTTGAAGAACTTACCAAACTGGTGCATTTCTTAAACAAGGCATAGGTTGTTTTAAAGTCTGAATGGTATCCTGTGTTAAAAATAGTCTCTGGAATGAAAAAATATATATATATATATGTGTGTGTGTATGTGTATGTGGGCTAGCACTTAATTCTTAAGGAGTGAAGGCAAAAATACCTCTGTTCCCTAAGTGCCATAAAAGCCAATGTCCATTCATTCAAAAATTGTTCACGTGCATGTCATATGCCAGTCCCTGTATGTGCGGGGCTCTGGAGATGCTTGTTGGAGACACACTGTCCTGCCTCTTGGAGCTTCCAGTCTAGCAGGCCAGGCTGACTTTGAATACAGTACCACAGATGTGTAAGTGTTACCAAGTAGAAGAGGTGCTAGGAAGCGTAATCATGGACTTAATCCACTCTGGGGTGTTGGGAAAGTGACATTTGGGCAGAGCGCTGGGTAGAAGTGAACTAGAGTGGGGAGAGGTCCCTCAGATGTGGAGTCAGGAAGAGTATCGTAGGAGTACTGTACCTTCTTTCCAGCTTACTGACAAAAATAGATGAAAGGACAGGACATAGAAAGGGCCTGGCAAGTCACCTTCAGGATTTAGGTGCTGTGGATTCACCGGCTCATAGGAAATGTAAGGAGTTCCAGCGTATCTGGAGAGTGGTGGGTGTGAGGAGGGGTGTGGTGTGAGGTGGAGCTGGGATGCAGGGTGGGGCCGCTCAGCACTGAGGATCTTGACGTGCCCAAGGGCAGCAGAAGCCGAAGCCGGGATTCTAAACTAAGGAGTGGCACAACTGATGGGTGTTTGGAAAATGCCCCTCTGGCTGTGGTGTGATGGCTTTGGAGGAACACAAGAGGGGAGGCAAGGAGAACGGGGGCTGTTGTGGCTATTGCAGTGGTGTTGTAGAGACATGGCCGGATTCAAGATGAAGTTCCCACGTGAGTCCACAGGGTGAGGTGATGGGTTAAAACGTTGTGGGGTGAGAATGAGGACCATGGCAGTGTTGTCACCGAGGTTTCTGCCAGGGCAGGTGCGCAGTACCTTCTCCTTGAGGTAAGGAATAGATGGGGGTGCAGGTTGGAGGAGTCAGGTGATCAGTTCTGGGTTGGACACATTGAATTTGAGATGGGGACATTGATTAGACAGTTGAATATGTGGGTCTGGAGCTCAGGAGAATGGTCTCGACCACAGATACAAATTTCGGAATATCAGGTAATTAATGGTTGTTGTTCGGGTCCTTTCTGCTTACTTCATTTTGGTCTTCTGATGACTACTCTGCCAGCAACTGAGAGGTGTAAAAACTAAATTTTAATTATTTGTTAAGTCAGAGTCCAAAAAAAATTTGAGGGATTAGGTTTTTAAATTATCTGGAGATTTCATAGAGAATCTTGAGGGGGCCACAGTCAGTGATCAGGTGCAAAGCAGAGAAAAATGGTGCTAAAAGTTAAGTGACGGAACTTGTCCTGCTTTAGAAGCTGCCTAGCCCTTGAAAAAGCTGGGCAGCTTCTAAAGCAGGAAGGTGACTTAGAAGGAGGGTGGTGCCAGTGTTTTGTTAGGCTTTCCTGCCCTTTGTGGTGGATTTCACTCAGCTCCAGGAGCAAAGAGCTAGGAGAGAGCAGAGAACTAGCAGAGAGCTGTAAGGGGCCTGGTGGGGGCCAGCTCCCAGGTTATGGTGCTGGCAGGATACAGCCCCTGAGCCCCCGGGCCGTAGGCTCATGTTCATGGAGCTGACTGGTGTGGTGCTTCTCTTTTTTTTCATCCCCTACCATGTACGTAAAGTGACACGGCTTCTCATTGAACGGTATCAGAGAGATTTTTGGATAAGGTGCATCTCAAAAAAGCATGACAACTACGTGATAGCCAGAGCAGCACAGGTGACCCCTAGCTGGTTTGGAGGATAGGATGCATGGCTTCTTTATTTTCCCTCTAAATATGATGTTTACTTCAGATTCATTTGATTCAAGGGGAGATAGCATCTTGAGTGTCATTTCATTATTTGATAACTTGTGTAACTCGTGGTCGGGGCCCTCAGTTTAGCCAGACCATGTTTTGATAGCTCTCCTCTATTGAACCCTTACCGGGGGCCGGGCACTGAGCAGGCTTGGATGCTTCTTTATGACATTATCGTATTTAATTATCACAACCACTCTTGAGACTTGCTCCTGCCCCAGTTTTAGAGGAGGAAGCTGCACTTGGAGAAGTCTAGTAAATTGCTCAGTCAGATGGCTACAAGGGGTTGAGCCTGAGTTCTGATCCAGGTCTGACTCCAAAAGTCATGCCCTAGCATGCTGACTTCATATTTATACATGTTTAGTGTAAAAAAGATGGATATAAAGATACAGGGAAGGAAGTGATGCTAAAACTAAGGTTGTGAGGAAGAGAGAACACAGCTTCTGTCTATGAATTGTTCATGGTATTAGCCTCTCATTTCAAGTAGACATTATCTTTCACGTAGGTTTTCTACATGCATTTAGATTACATCACTTTCAAACAGGCCATAAAACAGCTGTCTTCAGAGAGGCTTCCCTAAAAAGAGTAGAAATCTGAACACGCAGACCTAAAGCCTTTTCAAGCAGTCCTAGCTAATCTTTGGAATAGTTCTTCATAGCTGGCTTTCCTGAATCTGATGCTGCACTGGGTGTCTAGATTTGATTTTTCTCCTTTTATTTAACCTTCCAGCTTGAGCATAGCTATAATGAATTTATATTCTGCCTTATTTGAAAATGAATTTAAGGCAGCATACAAAGATACATAGACTATCAGTGGAGGAATTCTGAGTTGAGGGACACGTGTAGGAGGAATATAGTGCAGCCAGGATGGAGGGTAGTACATGAGATACAGACCATCATCATTTGCTAGATGTGGGCCACAGGTTTGGCTGAGCTAGGGCAGAAGCAGCATTAACTCTTCCCAGTTTTCTGAGAACTGAGATAAATTCTAGTGGATCCATATGCCCTTATAATAAATAGCTTGTTTTTCAAGCTGTTTCTTACCCCATGTCACTCTATGAACACCAATGGCATCACCCCAACTATGTCTCCTTAAAATAAAAGCAGTTGTAGGATCCAAACCAATGAGGTCTGGTTACTGAGCTCTCTGCAAAATCTAAAAATGTTTAGAGCTGCCAAAGGAATGGATGGCCCATGTGCTCTTCAGCCACTCAGTCTGCTGTGACTTAGATCTCATGCTGGATTTCAGGGAACAGTGAACTGGAACTTGCACCTCTTATAGTTGGGCTGGTTGAGTACGTCATCTGCCCAACAAACATCGGAGCTGAGAATATGGCTAGCGTGTTTTCCTGAAGTTGAAAGTCCTCAGATGCTGGTAGTGAGCAGAGGGCCCTCCTGTTTCCCCACAGAGGCAGGACTGAAGGCAGTGCCAGGATTTCCCTCAGAATGAGCTGGGTAGTCGTCTTTTCAGGCTCGTGTATCTTAGGCCTCAATTTTTAGTGTCAGGGAGTTTGAATTGTACCTTCCTTCTGATACATGATACAGACCTGTCTGCTCTGTCAGGCAGCCAGCCTGGGCTAAGGCAGATTTGTTCTCCAAGTTGGGTGGGGGGAAGTGAGTCTAGTTTCTAGATTTGTGTGTGTGTGGTCCCGCTGTAGAACAAGACCACTGGAGGAGGATGTTGAAAGCACTCAGTGTGCGTTGGATGAATAAGGGCGGTGCCTATAGAACATTCAGATGAAAATTTTAGTAGGCAATTGTAAAAGAGGGCCTAGAGCTTAGAAATCAGGAAAGGGAGAGACTTAGAAGTTTTTAGGTTTCTAAAACTTAAAACTGAGAGTCAGGAGATGTGGGTCTAGAGTCTGCCAAGATGCCATCCTGGGCCAGTCACTTTTCTAGGATTAGCAGCCCTTCTTTGTAAAACAATCGTAAACTGTTGATCCCACGGGCCTCTTTTGACTCTGAAAATTCATTCTAAAAAAAAAAACATTCTCTGAAAATTTGCTGGGCTGGTCTGTGTGGAGAAAAAGACCTTTTAGTAATGGTTTGGGGTATGTGGTATCTTGAAAGTACTGGTTTGTACGAATATCCTTCTTACTCTCCAAATCAGTGATGTACTGTATAGAGAATTAGAAATGGACCAGAGGCAGTCTCCCTAGATAAATCATTATTTGGTGTTAGGAATTGGTCATTCACCTCTGCTCCACCCCGTCTCCTTATTAAGTGAGCCTTATTTCTGGCAACCTTTATTTACCCTTAACGTCTGTGAAGATGGAAGTCATGTGGCTGAGTCAGTGGAAACTCAAATGTGAGTCAGGTGTTTGATTTTTTTTCTTTTTTGTGTCCCAGAGCCACCTCTTTGGCAAATTTCAAGTTGATAGTGTATAAACAAGGTGCAAGAGGCACATGTGAAAGCCGGGAGCTTGTAGGGGAGAGCATGAGTACTGCCTGCCTCCTGATAGACTATGCTGCCCTCTAGTGGTAGCTGCTTTTCATCCATATGCTGCAGAATTGACTATTTCCCTGCTTTGGAATGAGTTTCCAATGGTTAAACCACCTTCACTCCCACTCCCTTTCTTGGAATATATGGATAAGGCCTGTATTTTAATGGTGTATTAGTTTCCCGAGGCTGCTGTAACAAATTAGCACAAACTTTAATGGCTTAAAACATTTATTCTATCACAGTACAGAAGGCCAGAAGTTTGGAATCAGGGTGTTGATGCGGCTGCATTCCCTCTGGATGCTCTAGGGGTGAATCTCTTGTCTCTTCCACCTTCTGATGCCATCGACATTCCTTATGGCTGCATCATTCTAGTTTCTGCTTCTGTGGTCACATTGCCTCTTCTGTCTGTCTCTATTTCTCTTATAAGGATACTTGTATAGTATTTAGGGCCTATGGATAATCCAGATGATCTCATCTCAAGATTTAATTACATCTGCAAAGACCCTTTTTCTTTTCCAAGTTAGGTCACATTCTTCTTTCCAGGGATTTGGTGTGGATATGTCTTTGGGAGACCACATTCAACCCACTACAGGTGGTTAGTGCTGTTTCTGTCCATTTTCTCTGGATGTTTAAATTCCCACTGCGTCTAACTCTGTCCTTCGTAAACCAGTGTTCCCTTCCATTCCAAGTGGTGGCTGTGTGGAATGGCACCAAGGCCCACCAAGGGTGCTGCTCAGTTACATAGCTGCTTCCTTATTTGTGTTGAGTGTTGATTGTATTATTTTCAAATAGCCATTTAGTATTCTTAATGATGAGAAATTAATTATAGCAAAGATTTTGAGTAATGTTAAAGTTTGCAAAAAAAATGGAGGACTTGACAGCTTAAGCAGTAAATTGCACTTAACTAGACTTACAGGACATTAGCAGTAACATTTCATTTTGCAAAATAATAAAATGAAGAATTCCTTTTTAAGGATTTCTTTTTAAGGCTATCTTTAATTGTTTCTTTTCATTTCTTTGCAGGTCTTTTAGATAACCCTGAGCTTCGTGTGGTCCTTGTATTTGGCTATAATTGCTGTAAAGTGGGAGCCAATAATTATCTGCAGCATGTAGTGAGCACTTTCAGTGATATGAATGTCATCTTGGCTGGAGGCCAGGTGGACAACCTGGCATCGCTGACCTCTGAAAAGTATGTCTGATGTGCTTCTGATTTCTTCTGCACATCATGGGAAATGTTCTCATGGGAAGTGTTTGGGTTTTTAAAAAACATGCTTAAAGAATTGCTAATAGTTAATTCCGTTTTGCAATAGACATAGGTTGAGGGGCTCACACAATGTAATTCTGCTTATCTTTGAAGAATGAAATTTATATATGTTATCCTTTAAGAACTTAGTTGGACTTATACTCTCCTCAAAATTGACTTTCAACATGGTCTACTGAGCTCCCTTGACAGCTCTGTACTCTGTAACTGCAATACAGTAAGTCCCCTACATAACGAACCTTCAAGTTGCAAAACTTTCGTGCGTTTGCATGTCCAATCATGTAAATTAGTTCACGTGACTGGCATACATTGTCACATGCGTGCATCCTCTACAGGTGGTTATGCTTTTGTGTACTGTACAGTACTGTATAGAGTACAGTAGTACAGTATCTTTAATTAAAGCCCAGGATGTCCAGAAGCAAGCATAAAAGCAGCGGTGATGTAGCTGATAGTGCTAAGAAACGCCAAGCGAAAAGAACTGAGAGAGTGGAGCGAGGCAAAAAGATGGTAGACGTCGCTCATTATCATCACATGAATCGTTCAACCATTGGCACGATTCTAAAGAACAAGGACAAGAACATGTGAAGTCTGCTGTGCGGTGATGTTGACAATATTATTGAAGAAGTGTGGAAAAGTGATGGAGGAGATGGAGAAGCATCTCAGTGTGTGGATGCAGGATCAGCCTCAGTGTCGAGTCCCACTCAGCTTAATGCTGATTCAAGAGAGAGCTAAGAGCCTTTATGAAGACTTGAAGAAGAAACATGGCAAAGAATCAGAGGGCACATCTTTTAATGCCAGCCATGGCTGGCTTCATTGGTTCAAGACTAGAGTCAACCTTCATGATGTAAAAGTAAGTGGTGAGGTAGCGAGTGCAGATATGGTAGCTGCCCGGGAATTTCCTGAAATGCTTCGAGAAATTACTGATGAAGGCATGTATTTACCTGAGCAGGTTTTTAATGTGGATGAGACTGTACTGGAAGAGGATGCCAGACTGAAGTTACATCAGTAAGGAGGAAAAGTGGATGCCAGGCTCTAAACAGCAAAGCATAGACTAACTCTGTTGTTTGGTGGCAGTGTTTCCAGCGATATGAAGCTGAAGCCTCTCTTAGTTTATCATTCAGAGAACCCAAGAGCCCTTAGAAACATAGCCAGGGGCTCTCTTCCTGTTGTGTGGAAGAGTAACCCCAAAGCCTGGGTTACATAGGCCATTTTCCAGGACAGGTTTGTCCAGCACTTTATCCTGAAGGTAGAGAAATACTGCTTGGAGAAGGACGTCCCGTTCAGCATTCCTTTGCTGCTTGACAGTGCTCTGGGCCACCCCCCCATTCACAGACAGCTTTCATCCCACGTCAGAGTAGTGCATCTGCCACTGAATACAATGTCTCTCATCCAACCTATGGACCAGGGAGTTATAATGACTTTCAAGAAGTATTATTTATGTCACACTTTTCGTCAGGCAGTAAAGGCAAGTGACAAATCAGGAACAACCTTGTGACAGTTTTGGGAGGACATATACAAGGCCATGAGAAACACTGACTTTGCTTGGTGTGAGGTTACGGCTGTCACCATGAATGGGATTTGGAAGAACCTTTGTTCATGACTTTTGTGGATTTGAGAAGGTGGATGAGGAATCCAAAGAGGTCTTCAGCAACTTAGTGACCCTCAGCGAGAAGCTGGAGCTAGGTCTGCAAGAGGACGACTTCATTGAACTCCTTGCTGTGCAACATGAGGAGCTTACTAATGAAGACCTGATGGAATTGGGGGCCCAGAGAAAGGGCACAGAGAAACAAGAGGAAGAAGTAACTGAAGAACTGAAGAGATTCATGACACAGTAAATGGCAAGGGGATTTTCTTTATTTGAGGAGGCACTGTTAACTTTTAGAGGCATAGGACCCAGACGTAAAATGGTACACAAAGGTTGTAGCAACTGTTCAGAATGCCATCCAGTGCTACCGTGTCATCTGTGATGAGAAAAAAAGAGCTACTACCCAGACATCACTTTTTCAAGACGGTAGATAGAACTGAATCCAGCAAGGAACCAGAACCTGTGCCATTAGCGTCAGGCGTGAGTGAAATTGCAGCTTCCCTCCATCTCCTAGAGCGATCCGATCCTTCAGCTCTACCATCTCCCACCTCCTCTTCCTCCTCCAGTCAGTATCTCTTCTTGCCTGTTCACTGGATGCTAGCCCCAGTATGCCAGCTGTTGTACTGTACTACTGTACTTTTCAAGGTACTGTACTGTAAGATAAGAAATGTTTTTTGTTTTTTATGTATTATTTGTGTGAAAAGTATTATAAACCTATTACAGTACAGTACTATATAGCCGATTGTGTTAGGTGGGTACCTCGGCTAACTTTGTTGGACTTAACTAACAAATTGGACTTAAGAACATGCTCTCGGAACGGAACTTGTTCGTATGTAGGGGACTTGTTCGTACGTAGGGGACTTCGTATGGTTCATATGTATGTCACTTCCTCTCTGGCTCTGTTTTCCTCCTCTAAAGGAAATGCGTGGTTCAACAGTACATCTTTATGGTAAAACTTCTCAGAGCCTCTAATACTGTGCTCAGTACTTTGGATCTTTTAGAGGGAGGGGGAATATTATTACCTGTGGCCCTTCTTAAATCTGTTTGGCCACAAAACCTTTTGTCCATGGAGCATCTTGCAGGCTGACTGGTATTACTTGGCATACATTTTTGGGAATACTGTACTAGATCTTTTTTTTTTAACATCTTTATTAGAGTATAATTGATTTAGAATGTTGTGTTAGTTTCTGCTGTAGAGCAAAGTGAATCAGTTATACATATACGTATATCTACTCTTTTTTAGATTCTTTTCCCATATAGGTCATTACAGAGTATTGAGTAGAGTTCCCTGTGCTATACAGTAGGTCCTTATTATCTATATTGTATATAGTAGCGTGTATATGCCAGTTCCAATCTCCCAATTTATTCCCCCCGCCACCGCTTCCCCCTTGGTAACAGTAAGTTTGTTTTCTACATCTGTGGCTCTATTTCTGTTTTGTACATAAGTTCATTTGTACCATTTTTTTAGATTCCACATATAGCAATATTACTTGGCACACGTTATTGGAAATACTGTACTAGATCTTTTGAAAGGTTTTTTCAAGCTCAAAAATGATGCATCTTTCATTTTATTATTAGGGCTTTTGTTTTCAAAGATAAAAAATATTTGCTCTTCTATCTTGAACCATTACTACTTTTCCATTTCCAATGAAAGTATGTAGTATTTTGAGTTTGAGCTAATTAAGTGGACATAAATATCAGCTGTTTCCAAAAGCAAGAAAATGAGACACACACACCCCCGCCCCCATCCTCCAGATGTTTCCTGCAAGCACTATTATTTGTTTCTCTCTATATTTGTGTTTAGTATTTGGATCCTAGAGTGGTGACATGGAGACACACTGTTAGAGATCAGTATCATTAAGAGCAGCTTAAATCGTCCCAGTCATCATCTCCCTCCTGGTAGTCAGCACTGATGGATCAGGGAAAGCAGGTAGCTAAGTTGAGTTCCCTGGAACCTGAGGAAGAAGGGAGGAAAGCCAACTGCACTGAACTCTAAGCACTGGATTTCATGCATAAGTATACCTGATTCTTGTTAGCTATCTGTGGGTTATTTCTCCTTTTGCCTAATTTTCCTTATTGTCTTTGCTTTTACTTTGAAATTATATACAGATAGGGCAATGGCAATTTAACATACAGTTGATTTTTGAAATGCAGCTCACTCAGACATATAACTGAGGTGCTAGCCTGTTAGCATGGCTGTCTGTATATAATCTACTCTTTATACCTAATATGGGAAATATACCCTCAACAATCATTACCTCTTACATGACACATTAATTTTAACGTGGTCTTTACACTGTGTCATGGAGTAAGGGAAGCCATTGAGTAAATCAGTGCTCCATGTTAATGGTGTCCAGATAGGAGCCCCGCTCCCTCCAAAAAAAGGTGAATAATTCTTTTTAGGCAGGAGACTCGTGTTGCAGTTGTATACCAAAGAGGAAATGTAATAAGGTTAAAGGAACAGCAGCAGACTTCAGAAGATGGATTCTGCCCCTCAGAAACTGGTTTTGCCACTAGTTAGCCTTAAGTTGCTCAGTGCTTAAGCTTTTTAAGTCTTAGTTTCTTTTTAACCCAGTGAATCCTGCCCATTTCGTAAACTCTGATAGAAATGTTAGGTACTTACTTGGTTTTCCCCGATGGGTGTTCACTGTATTATGCTTTACAACTTTATTGGCATTTTATTTTTATTTTCTGTAGTAACCATAAAATATTTCATTAAAAAAAATACCAGGCAAATAGAAACAAAAAGAAAATGTATGATTTTACCTTCAGATTAAGCTAAATTATCAGGTCAAAGCAATAAATAAGACACAGCAATATAGTCTATTCCTTTATGGACCAAACAGTATAGAGCTTAAAACTTCTGGAATTATGGGTTCTTAATAAAATTATCCTCCATGATTGAATATTTAATACACCTCTTTTAGAATTTGACAGCTGAGGTAGGGGAGAAAAGATACCAAAGAGGTAAATAATACCAAAAGCTTTAATACATATCATAGTATGTATGCATAAAACTGTAAGATTCCTTTTTCAGGGAAGTGAGAAAGGTAAGAATACTCTGTACCCTTCTAAAACTCAGGTTGGATTTTAGAAATCTTTGTGGAGATGATGCATTTGCCCCTTTGTATCTGTGACTGAGGAAATGGTTGCTTTCTTCTCCGTAGATCTGCCTTCTGCATTCTTTTAATATATTAATTTCAGTAGTTTAATTTTTAACCCTTATTACAGTCCTCTGATCAGGGAGAGAGAGCCTCAGACTAACTGTAGACTGAGGCAGCACTTCCCAACCAATGAATCAGGAGGATTTTTCTTTTATACTGTAAATTTGAATGGTGTTTCATGATATATTGCCACTTTTCTAATTTAATTTTCTAGGAACCCTCTGGATATTGATGCCACCGGTGTGGTTGGACTGTCATTTAGTGGACATCGTATCCAGAGTGCCACAGTGCTTCTCAATGAGGATGTCAATGACGAGAAGACTGCTGAGGCTGCGATGCAGCGCCTCAAAGCAGCCAACATTCCAGAGCAGAATACCATTGGCTTCATGTTTGCGTGTGTTGGTAGGGGCTTTCAGTATTATAGAGACAAGGGGAATGTGGAGGCTGATGCATTTAGAAAGTTTTTTCCTAGTGTTCCTTTATTTGGCTTCTTTGGAAATGGAGAAATTGGATGTGATCGCATAGTCACTGGAAACTTTATATTGAAGAAATGTAATGAGGTAAAGGATGATGATCTATTTCACAGCTATACAACAATAATGGCACTAATTCATCTTGGGTCATCTAAATAAAGCCACCTGTAAAGTGGCTTTCACAATGTATAACTTTTGGGCTCTGTCTTTTCCAGAAAATGGAAACTTGGGATATGTATATTACAAACAAAAAACTTTATATGTATCTGTTTTGTAGCTTTGACATTCTGAAGATTATTTGGTAGTTTTTAATATATTAGGTGAAGGACAAGTTTGTACATGATGTAATGCAAGACAGGGAGTTGAGAGCTTTTGCATCAGGCACAAGTGAACCAATTATGGCTATACTGCACCAGGTATGTAGCTGCTGTGTGATAGGACTTTAAATAGTCTTCTGCATAGGAAGACTGAAAAAGGATTCATCAACAGAAAGGAGATTTAAGACATTCCATGACTACCTCTGCAATGTTAGATGATCTTTCAGCAGACTCATGAAGATATTTTTCTCCCTTAAATAAAGGAGAAAAATACACAGATGGCTTGGGAAATTTTTCTCTGCTTTACAATTTTACCATTTTTTTCAGAAGCTGTAACAAATTGCTGACTTTTTACTTATTTGATAAATGTTAAAGAACTATTTTTGTTTTAGTACTCTAAAGTTGCTTAGTCAAATAAATTGCCAAGACTAATCAGTATTTTATTACCTTATAAGGAAAAAAATTTTCCTTTCCCCTCAATAAAGAAATTGCAACAGAAAATTCTTTTTTTCACCTACTTCTATGTAACTAATTGGCAGATGAGACAATTACATCACCTTATTTTGGTTTTATACCAATAAAACATACCTTGGAAACTCAGATAGCTGTGTACTTCATTGCTTTTAGTGAGTGAGTGAAGGAATCCTTTAGAAAAGAAAACCCAGAATAATGGTATTTGTTAGTTAGCAAATCCTGGCATATTTCCAGTAAAATGTTTTTCAAGTTTAAATTTCTCATTATGTAAATATCAAAATGAAATCTGTGTATAGAAAACCAGTTTCCCCCCCAGTATCCATTCTTTCCTTTTCACACAGTCATAAAACCTTTGATTTTCAGCTAGGCACATGCACACCAGAATAAAGACTACATCCTTGTCTCCCTTGCAAGTATGACTGTTCTGGCTGGTGAAATGTGAGGGAAATGATAACGTGTCCTTTAAAACAGACTGGTTTTTTTTTTGCCTTTTTTCGATCCTTTTGCTTAGAAGTGTATATGATTGTGAGCCATCTTAGACTCTACAGAAGAGGCAGTGCTCTATTGTGGAAGCGATCACACAGAATGATCCTAGGTTGCCATACAGTTTTGTTGATGTGCTACCATTACTGATTTGGACTGCCTATCTCCAGAGTGTTTTACAAGATAGAAATTAACATAATTCTTGCCTAAGGCACTTGTTTTTTTCCAGGTCTTTGTTACAGGATATCTGTATTAGCATATTCTAATACAGTATGATATAATATATGGCACTTTTGTAATAGTGGTTTTAATGGGATAGAAGAAAACTTGCAAGGTAAGTGAAATCAAATATATTAACAACATTCCTGCTTTTTTTTTTTTTTTTTTTTTTTGCGGTATGCGGGCCTCTCACTGTTGTGGCTTGTCCTTTTGTGGAGCACAGGCTCCAGATGCGCAGGCTCAGCGGCCATGGCTCACGGGCCCAGCCATTCCGCGGCATGTGGGATCTTCCCGGACCGGGGCACGAACCTGTGTCCCCTGCATCGGCAGGCGGACTCTCAACCACTGCACCAGGGAAGCCCCTGCTTTTCTATTTTTAATCACTTTTTTTAAACCAATTTTTACTTCAAAAGATTTTTTTTCTTGCTGTTTATTTATATAAATGATAAAAATACTTAAAAGTTTCTTTAATTTATGGTTATACTCAATCTTAGTTCCTGAAGAAAGTCCAAAGAAAAGTTTGATTGCCATAGAACTTTTAATCTGTGAATATTAATATTTAGCCATTTTTATTTATTAACTCTTCTATTATTTGACATTGGTACCCATTATCAAGTAGAGAATATCTCAAAATTTAAGTCCTTGGTTATGCTTACATAGCATATAAGGAAAATACTTTGTAAATTTTCTTTGTCCTTGATATTAACCAGAGTTGACTGAACAGTAGAGGAAAAAAGATTTTGAAAATGGAAATATGAACAAAATGCACCTGGTTGAATGAACTGTTTTATTTTTTTCAAATTAATACATAAAATGTTTTATTACTACTCAAAGGAGAGTCTGCTGCAAGGTCATTTCATACAGTATTCGAGGTTAATATATGGCTCCTTTTTATAGCTGAGACTTTGGAGCTTGTTAGGAACAGTAAATTCATTTGGCCACAAGATTGTAACCCTGGTGCAAAATAGAAAGGGAAGAAGTTGAACCAATTGAAGGAGTAGTACTGATGAAAACAAAAGTTATTGGCCCTGCCTCTCAGAGGCTTTGACATTTCTGTGGAAGTTGGGGGGGGGGGATGATAATTTAACCAAAGTTAAAACAATTTATTATGGTTTTGAAAGGCTTGTCTTAAAAGCAGGCATTAAAGAAAAAGTTACTGTTTCAGCTAAAAACATAATTCCTAGAAATGGCAACTGTTGTAGTTATTTGTGAAACTGGAAAAATGATCACATGAAAAAGCTGACATGAGCACAAAAAGAGAAGATGTACCCTTACTGTTTTCTTTACAATACTGAGCTGTCTTCTATCAAGTGACAAGGATAGGATAGTTTAATCAAGGTGTTTAAAAAATATTGATTTCCTTAATGTGCTTTCAAAGCAGAATCTTTCTGCAGCTACAATTTGCCTTGTTAAAGGCTGCTTCAAAGGAATAAACTCCTTGAAATGCCAAGTAGCAATATAAAAAAGAGTAAGGAAGCTTGGAATTAAGATCTCAAAACAGACACCCTACACATTGTTATAATTAATAGTCTGTGAGCTAGAGTAATGAAGGAGGTCCAGAAGGCCAGTTCACTACTGTAATTAATTCTCAACTTTGCTTAAACCTGCATCATTGGTAAATAAAACAACTTTTCAACCTAGTAAGAGAAGCCAAACAGCAAGCGTTTTGCCACTAATTTATATTACAAACTTAACACAATGAACATGCAAAGAATGTAAAATAAACGTTTACAAATCTGAGAATTTCCTAGGCATTCTGCAGAAATTTTTGAGAAAAAAATCTACTTCTGTCATTTTGTGCCCAGTCTAACCCATTTGAGCACCACCATAAATTCCATTTTAATGAAAACAGAAGACTAAATCCTCTTGATTTGAAATTGAGATTTTAGATGACTGACTTGGTTTTCATTTGTAGAAAGGGAATGAGTCTGCTTAATGAAAATCCTAAAATAACAAAACATAGTATTAGTAATAACATCTTTGTTAAATAAACAAAACTAATACATGTGCTATGTAAAGAATGTTACCAGAAAGTTTTTTTTAATATTAGCCTGTGTAGAGAAAAATAGTCAAATATTTACAAGACATATTATTTTTGTTTCATTTCTGCCTTATGCCATGATGGAGACAGAATAGAAGAATATATGCTACTCTAAAGTAGAAAACATTGGCAGAGGCCAGTAAACTTCATTTTTTTTTTTTTTTTTTGCGGTATGTGGGCCTCTCACTGTTGTGGCCTCTCCCGTTGCGGAGCATAGGCTCCGGACGCGCAGGCTCAGCGGCCATGGCTCATGGGCCCAGCCACTCCATGGCACGTGGGATCTTCCCAGACCGAGGCACGAACCCGTGTCCCCTGCATCGGCAGGCAGACTCGAAACCACTGCGCCACCAGGGAAGCCCCAATAAACTTCATTTAATGTCTTGGTACTAAGAGTGTATGGAGCATTTCACTTCATAAAGTTTTTATAAAAGTTACTGTTCTCTAGTGACATCACAGCCAGTAAAAAAGGCAAGATAATTACAAGAAATTGGAAAAAATACATGTATTCATTAATTTTAAATGTAAATCAGTGAAGATAATTGAGACCATTTTCTTAACCTTTTCACAATACCTCCACATCTAACCAAAATTCAGTTACCATACATGTATCTAAAACATAACTCTGTTCAAGGCCTAGTCAGGATACTAGAATTACAGATAGGAATAAACATAATTGAGCTGAGTGACACTAGCAACTGTGTGAACCGAATTTGTTGGTGCTCTGGAAAACAAAGGTTTACAGCAACTAACACAGTGCCCAGTGAAGAAAACCCATCCTCAGAATGGTAGGAAAGTTTTGTGATTTTTTACTCACCCTTGCCTCCCATGCAGTGGTGCTCTTATTCTTAAAATGACAGAAGGATGGTTTCCAGTTCCCTCCCTCAAACCAGAAGAGGAAGAATAGACTTTATTTGCAAATCACTGTTTGTCTTTTCTAATCTGGGGGGGGGGGGATTAGAAGGACTGACTCAAGGTGCTCATCACTGTTTTGCATAACTTGGAAATCAGGCAAGAAAGAGTAGGCACTGCTTGTGAAAGCTGCAAGATGACTGCAGAATCACAGGCACCTGGATATGGGTGAAGACATAAAACAGGCTGTGTAAGGCCTAGAGGAGAAGCTGGGGTGAGATTTGTGAGAAACTGGGCATTCAAAAGCAGTTGTACCCAGGGGAAGATATAGAATGCCAAATGAATGCACAGGCAAAACATGCTCAGAAAAGATTTAAGAGAGCCTTAGGTTTTCATCTTGGTCTGATCCCTAGGATAGAAGCAGGCCTAGCTAAGAGCTGCAGGAGTGCCTTAGCACACAGCTGAAATGCAGAAAGGAGAACTGGCATTCAAGGAAATCTCTAAAAACAGCTGAACATGAGATAATAGGAACAGAGGTTTCAGTGATCACACACAAGGGATAGTCTTTGTAAAAGTACCTTGGAGAAGTCTCAAAAACAAATGAACAACAGCGTTCAACAGTCAGCAACAACTGGTAAACACTGGGAATAGAAGAGAATGTTATATCCAGAATTACAGTACTGTAATAGTGAAATGCCCAATTTTCAACAACAAAAAATCTGTAAGGCATACAGAGAAACAGGGAAACGAGGCCTATTCAATGGAACAGAAACTGGCTTGGCCCACACATTGAACTTACTAGAAAAAGACCTTTAAATATGCTCAAAGAACTAAAGGAAATCAAGAAAGTGATGAATAAAATGAGAATACCAGTGGAGAGAAATTATAAAAAGGAACCAAACATTTTGGAGCAGAAAGTTACAATAACAAAATTTTCACTGGAGGGGTTGAACAGCAGATTTGAGCAAGCAAAAGAACTCATCAGCAAGTTGAAGACAGGACAGTTGAAGTAATTGTGTCTAAGAAAGCAAAGTAAACAATCGAAGGGATTTGTAAGATACCATCAAATGGAAGATGAAACAGGAGTCCCAGAAGGAAAAGAGAAAGCTACATAAAGTTTATTTGAAGAAATGATGACAAAAGAGCTTGCCAAATTTGATGCAAGACATGGATGTACATATCAGGAGGCTCAACAAACTCCAAACAGGGTAGAGTCAGACACCAAGATACATTATAGACGGTCCTTGACCTAGGACAATTTGACTTAGGATTTTTTCAACTTTACAATGGTGTAAAGATGATATGCATTCAGTAGAAACCATACTTACTTCAAGTTTTGAATTTTGATCTTTTCCCAGGCTAGCAGTATGCAGTAAGATATGCACTTATGATGCCTAGCAGTGGCAGAAAGCTGCAGCTCCCAGTCAGCTGCATGATCATGAGTAAACATCTAATACATGTACAACTATTCTGTTTTTCAGTACAGTATTCAGTAAATTACATCACTTCAAAATAGGCTTTGTATTAGATGATT